TTAACGGAGAAAAAATTGATCTTTTTTCATTATACAATTCTTGAATCGATTTGTGGCTTTAACACTGACTTTTCGTGAAACATTAAAGCAGGGATTTCAGCCAAGGACAGGTGCGTCCTAAAGGTATTAGGATTGGACTTCTCTTTTCAAACTAAAAAAACAATAACGTTTTCAAATTTAAGGTTAGCATTAAAAAATGACCAAGCTCTAAGAGAATCTATTAATAAAATAGGAAGCAAAAATAATCCTTATCTCAGCCTTGATCAAAATGTACTTCTTGATCAAAATATAAGTAATGCAATAAAGTCATCACGCGTTTTTTCAATTTTCATTGCACATAAAATTTTTTAAAATGCGAGCATCAATTAGAATGGAGAATTGTTTAAAACAAGACATAGTGGCATATAGTTCATGATGTAAGTAGGGAGAAAAGTCAATCTCTATCATACTCAAAAAAATCCAGAGAATCAAAACTATTTTTAAACAAAATTTCAATAGACAATTATTTGAAAACTAAGAAACAAAATGAAATCCATTTTCCAGCTTTGAAACGATTATTGTGATTGAATTGTTTAAAAACTTATACCACGCTTGAAGTTTGTGCAGTTTACTTACAATTTGATTTTGTATAATGAGCAAAAAATTCAGTTTGTTCTGAATTTAAAAAAAAATTTCTTTATTTTTTATTCGATGTAACTGACCAAGTATTTTTTTTTCGTGCCTTTGATGGATTTTTCTTATCGAGCAACTGCGAGAAGCATACAGCATACAGTCCACTGAGAAGCAAAATTTTTTAATTGGAAGAAAATTATTTTTTTTATAAAAAAAAAACAAATAATTGACCTGATATACTAAAGTAAATGGCAATTATGAATGACTCCCAATAAGACATGGCGAAAATGCGTAATTAAAATTTAATTTCCTTACCAAGATCAAAAACAAGCAAGTACGCCAAATTTGTGGATCGACCTTAAAATCAAATATAGATAGAAGGATCGGAACCCAATGGCTTAGACAAAACAACTTGAACTCGAAAAACGCAAAAGGAAACTGCAGAAGGACAAAAGCTTCAAATAATTTTTTGTGATTCATTGTTCGTTTTGTATTCAGGACATTTTATCACTGAAAATTTAGTATCACGACAACGGGAATGTAGAATAACCCTACGTACAACAACGGGAGCTGAGACAGTGAAAACTGTTGATGGAAGAATTAACCATTTTAAATTGTTACAAATTTTATTTGCGATTTTAATAAACCATCAGAATCCTTTTACTTAGCGCCATTTGTAGAGTTATGAAGTTACAAAAAAACTAGCAGAAATTCATCAAAAATGTAAATAACATCTTTTTCCTTTTCAACAACTTCAGCAATGCAATTTTTTCAAACCAAATTTAGTAGCTGAAGAGCGGAAGAACGGAGTTCTCCCGCTAGATCGTTTTGAAGCTCGTGGTACCATTTTCTGTTAACTAACGCATATGATTTTTGGTGGCTGTAATCAGCCTTCGAGATTCTTATGAATCGCTCCTATTATCATCATAAAGTCCTAAATAAAACAAGAAAAATCTATCCTAACTAAAACTGTGGCCATAAACAAGTGATAGCTTTTACAACCGAAAGATATAATACTTACTTTAGATAACGTTTTTTTTTTTGTAATTGGTTTTTAAATTTTATTTGATATTTCATTTTGGTTTGATTCTAAGTCAAATATTTTCTGCGTCTTGTCGAAAACGAAACAAAACTGTTTCTTAATCTGACAAACTGTTATAAAAAAAAAATTGTTCGTTCTCGCGTAACAATCATCAAAATTTTCTATCTATTCGTGTTTCTATCTAGTAAATACCAGCAAAAGTGTACAGCTGTATGCTTTGTTTATTATGTTACGCTCAAAATGAATTTGACATTGTTTTTTTACTTTTCTGTTTTTCCTTACAACGAATACATTAACCATACCTAGCCGGTGTATGGCACAAGATTTCCACATTTTCATCTTCTGTCATTAAATGGAAGAACTGTGTAATGACGTTTGACAAGAGTATTAGATTTGGTTATGAACTGGAAACTCTCCGTTCAACTACACCAATCAGAATCAGGCAGCAGCTAGCAAAGTTAAACAGCAATTTTTACCAAAGAGAACAGTACGAGCAGAACCCAATCTATCAACTATCAACGGAGTTGCAATCTGGGTTCGAAAATGACGAGTAATACCAAAATTGGGACAACGAGTAACAAGGGATCGAATACGTCTAAGATATCAGAGACAAGAAGGATGAAGGAAAACTATGAAGCGAAAAAAAGAAAAAAAGAGAAGGAAACAATTGATACTTTTTAACAACTAATTCATTTCAAACTTTAACGATTTGATTTCAACTTGAAGTGTAATATCTTTATGCAATGTTTAACTTTTCAATATTTCACGATTTAAAAACATAGTTTGGTACCAATGTAAAAGTAAAAGCGCCGATGGAACAACTTATTACCTTTAAAAAGGAGTGAGTTGTAGTGTTCATCTACACTTTAAATATTGATCTTTCTAGAAATGTTTACACAGAAGGACTCTTTAATGTGCATTAACTAAGAGAGAAAAATGTCTCACTGCCAAATTTTATCTGCCCTGAAAAACCGACAAAAGGCGATACCTTTCTCTTATTTTTATGAGTTCTCATGGAACTTTTGAGTTTTCAATTATCAAATGCAGGTGCAAAACATGTGAGTCCCCGGGATGAAGTGATTTTTGATTTTTTCTTGGTCATCTGAAGAAGAAGCTTTTGAAAAGAAAGGGAAAAATTCGGTGAGTTAATGATAAACACGACGGACTTAATTAACACGAGTCAGGAGATATTCCCTTTAGCAGACCGGCCAGATTTTCCTGGTACGCCTCAGATCAACTTTAGAGACAAATTCAGCTCTCAGATCATTTTTAAAAAATTTTACTCAATTTTTTTTTCATTTTTTTCTTTTCGCAAAATACACAAACTCAAAATAAACATAATCGAATAAAATTTTTTGCAAAATGAACAAAACTGAAATTTGAAAAATTCGTCGTTTACTTTATAAATTTTGGAGAAAATAATTACAAGTAATCAAAAATAATCAAACTGAGAGTTTTGGCCACACAAGGATTCAGCTTGCTAATTATTACGGAAAAAAGTTGAACAAATATGATAACAATCCAACCTGATAGGGAAATAAGATTAAATTGTTCCATCACTTTATACCGTAAAATTTCAAGTATTTATATCAAATTAAATTATTTGTTTTTTCTAATTAAACTAGCATTGTCGAAATATTTTGATGATAAACGCTAGGTGAGACCTAGATTAAATTATCGAAATAAACCGGAATTGCTATATGATAGTCTTCCTTTTTCTCCTGGTAAGGCGCGTCGTTAAATTAATCATATGCTTAACCATGAAGCATGCTTTTTAACAGGTATTTTCAAATCAAGAAGAAAAAAAATTTTCTTCTAACCTCAATTTCGCGCTTCACCTTATTTTTTTCTCCTAACACCAAAAAATCATGCCGTCAATTTTTCAGGAAAAAAATTCTACAGAGCCTGACCCGACACTTCATCATCTTATGAAACGGAAAAGCTCTCTAAATGAGGATTCCAGTCTACCGGTTGATCTAGGAGCATCAGAGGCTAAACATGAACCAGAAATTTTGCAGCACCAGCCGCCAATCTCCTGTCAAAAGAAAGAAATGGCTATACAAAAAGTGACTAAGCAAGAACAAGGTCGTGCTGATTTTTCTGAAGGCCAAGCATTTTTACCCAGAGCTAAACCAAGCCAATTATCAGATTTTTGCTCCTACCATTGATGAGTGGGCGGAGTTTTGTGTTCAGGTTTGTTTTTTTTCTACGAAAAATCAAGTACAACATTAAACATCGGAGTAAGTCGAGTGATATATCAAACTGAAGCCCTTTAAATGGTGATTTGATCATTAGAAAAAAAATTCCATAAAGCTATCCCGATGTCGAGAAAGTTTGTCCTGTTTTTTTTTTTGAAATTTAATTCAATTTCGAGCTGGTAACGGGTGTTATTTACAAATTTAAGTTTTGATCAGGGTATTCGGCAGAGAAAACTTGATTTTACTACGAAACAAAAACTAGTTTTTGAAAATTCAGTTAGCGCTTCCTTGGTAGTCAAGTTTTTTTTAAGAGAAACGTTATTGTGTAAAAAAATGGAATTTAAAAGAAAAATTCATGTTTTCATCAGTCATTTTTTCTTTGGAATTGAATTTTGTCGACTATGCCAAATTTAATAACATTGAACGCGTTTGAGTAGTTCTCCAATGAAACCACAGAGTAAAAACGACACTAATGGAAAACAAATTTTTATGAATGTGGTCTGAGTACTCATTGCTACTTGCCTGCAGTGTCTTGTTTTTATCCTTGTTTGTCTTGTTTTTAGCTTTTTTGGCGGAAAAATATATGGATTTGCTCCATGAGCTACATGCACTGCTATTTGTTTTCGACAAAGATTGACAAGAACTTGAAATTGAAATTCACGACTATTACTCAGGAACAGTTTTTGGGTTTGCGAAATGAGCATTTGATTCACTGAATTCTTGTAAATTTTATTCAAGCTTGTCTTTTTCAGCTTTTTTATATTTCAATGGCTCTTTTTGGCATTTTGTGAAATCATGACTTCAGTTATCATGGCTGATCATCCTGCCCCAGCGCAATTTTTCTCCATTCTCTAATACTCAACTTCTTTTTGACTATGAATACTTAACTTAAAGTGAACCTGAACAACATTTTGTCTCTTTTCTGATTTTTTTGGATCATAGTTTTCTCTGTTCATTTTTTTCTGTTTTAACACCACTGGAGGGGATCGTGATTTTATGTTTATTGATCAAAAAATTCTGTGTTCATGTCAATTCAGAAAACATTTTTTATTTTTTAAAGACTGTGCTCGTAACATTCTGTGCTCTTTGCACAGTAACCGGCGATCCTTGTTTTTGTATGTGCATAATTTGCATAAAAGCAAAAAGAGGAATTTTAAACAGTTTATTATTAAGGCAATGTTAATCTGGTGAATTATCTTAAAATGATTGCAAATCACGTAATCATAAATTATAAAGTAGAAATCAGTTCACCGCAAATTTAAAATTTTCAAAACTTGCTTTTAAAATCCGTTTGGGAGTATTAGCTTTTCAATTCAAAAACAAAATTCAACGCTCATTAAAAATATTTTGTTCATGTTTTGAGGATCCATTAAGTCAAGCAAGTTTTTTGTCAATTGTAGACGGCGGCTGCTTCAGGCGGTGACCCATTGCAGCTGTTCAGTTCGCTAACTGCACTCATGTTTTCTGTATTGAGTCCCACTTCTGAAGTATCCTGCATGAAACAAAAACAAATTGTTGTTTCCGTTAATATACTCGAATTTGTAAACGAGTCATGTTTCAAGAAACTATCGACTTTGCTTCTATGTTATGCATAACAGCTCTTTTTGTTGGAAACTGTCTCTAAAAAAGTCGGCAACATTTATATACCTTGATGTCGTTGACCAGTGTCGCAACAGGATCACTATTGATTGGCCCATCGGTCAGATTCACATCTGATGATATCTTCACACTTCCAATGGGAGATTCTTTGCCGCCCACACTTCCCGGCGCGTAGTCCGTTCCACTGTCGTCGGGCGAGTTTTCCGCAGGCAGTTCCTGGAACACTCCTGTTTGGATGCCGATGTTGGGCAGACACACATGTGGGATGAATCTGGACAGCGACGTCTTGTAGTCCATCGTCTCAAACTCTGGAAGACTCTCGTTGGACAACAGAACCTAAACAACCGCTGTCATGAAAAACTGATTGAATCATCATTTTCATTAAATCACTATTGGGACGTTTAAACGGGCACTTTATTAATTCGCCTCAAGGATCAGAACAACTCGCATGTTTTCCTCCAAGTCTTTAATGAATTGTCTGAGTTAACAAACTTTTCATTATTTTTTTTCCTTATGTTCTTTTTATTTGACATTAATTGACATTTTTCTTGCTCCCATTACTCCCATAAAATTTTCATTTTGATGCCTTTTTGCGATTTTGGCACAAATTTATCTGGCCAACAAGAATTGATCAACTTACAATTAAATAAGCAAAAAGTTTGTTCATTTTGTTATAACTAAAAATCTTTTACACTCAAACTCAGATGCACTTAAGCTTATTGACTTCGTCAGAATTAAAACAACTCTAGCAATTCTGAGACGTTCCAAAATTATGTCATTTAAACAAAGTATTGCAGTAGCCCTAAGCAGTAATCCCAAGCCAATGATTCTTGGATGAGTAGTTTAAGGTAAATAAATCAGGGCGAACATAGATAGACTACATGGTCCTAATCTTGTTCCTCTTGATGGCCTCGAGGGTGAGTTTGCGGAGTCTGGCCTTCCAGACCAATTTATTAACCTCGGCTTTTTGTTGGGTAGCCCAATTGCGACGCTTGCCGGACACTTCACGATCGAGCTTTTTCAGACAGTCCTCCAGTTACTTCATTGTCTCCAGAGCCACCCACCAAGGTCGAGCCGTATTCTTCGTCGCATTTTTCTCAAGAGGGTCGCTGGTCACTTGTTTGCCAATAGCCTGATGCTCGCTCGAGATCCTTTCTTTGCCAACATCCATTTCCCATGTTTATCCACTCGTCGAACCCTTTTTCGAGCTTGCCTTCTGAGGTTTGAAATCTTTTTCCGTTACCAGACTTGTCGAGACCTCTATCTCTTCAACCTCTTCGGCTATCCTCCTTGGTTCGGAGCTACTCTTGTAGGCCGCAGTCTTCCATCGCGCTAGAATCATGGGAACAGTCTCCCTCAAATTCTTCTCAGAGACAGCATCCGCCGACGGGCTAGTCAACTCCTCTACTTCCCTTTTCCTCTTTCGAGACTTAACACCTTTGCTTGGGGGTGTCGTCATTATCATCACTGATTCGACCTCTTTGTCCCGGTCCATCCCTTCCGACTCTTGCCTCCCCCTACTCGAGCCTTAAGGATATTAATATCTTTAATCATATTACTAGGGGGTACTAAGCTCAAGGGTAGCTCCAGGTTTTTGCGAGGGGATGACGGCAGGGGTGGTGTGGCCGTGCTAAACCTCGTCTTCACGGGACCGCTTCTCTTATCTCCAGGGGTGCCCACTGACAGGGGTGAGGGTGTAGTTGGGTCGTCTACATATAGAAGAAAGCTCGCCTTCCAAACTCAAGATTTCTTCTCCCCAGATTTCACTCAAGTCATCTCTTTGTTCCCTTGGCACCTTTCCCAGGATCTTCCTCAACAGCTTATGTGAATGATGCGACATTCGTGCCAGTCGTACGCACTTGGGTACCGAGAAGGCCTTGTCCACTGGTCAAGCCAAGACAACTAGCGGGTTCCAACTTCTTTACTGATCCTAGCTTACTCATTGCCTCGCTCGACACTTTACTCTGTGGTAGGATCAGTTTGTGTATCACATCCAAAGTTCCCAAGTCTTCATCTTTTGTCGGTGTTAGTCTCACTCGTTCCGTGACATCTATAATCAAGCTTGCGTGGGGATGTGGGCACCAGGAGGGTCTCAGCAACTTCCAAACCGTTCCCAAATTCGTAGTCATCATGCCATTTCCATTCCCCATTTTCAATTCCACTCTCTTGTTCGAGCGCGGCACGCTTATTACCTTGGGCGTCGTCTCAAGTAGCAGGCCCGGGCTCGGTTTCTCCCTTTCCATTGAATCAACTTTGATTATCTTCTCTGTTCAAAACTTCAACAGCTCCGTCACTTCGTGATTCTTGTGAGCGCTCCCGGCCTCTGAATCCAAGAAAGGGTTGTATGCTATCCCCATTACTCCAGATACATATTGGTATTCTCCCCGTTTGTTGGGTCTCGAGCAATCTTCAGCCGAGGCCAAGTTACGATGCACATCATGCCCCTATTCGAATTTCTTGTTGTAGAATCTCCGAATTTCTTAAAGATTCCCATGATTCTCTAGGGAATGTCTCGAGTCATCTTCTTTTTCGATCCCCGTACTCTGGTACACGTTCAGTATGATGGTGGAGACTCTTCTCTACTCTTCTCTTCTCTTCAATTAATAAAGTGCCCGTCTGGAGACGTTTAGACGGGCACTTTATTAATTCGCCACAAGGATCAGAACAACTCGCATGTTTTCCTCCAAGTCTTTAATGAATTGTCTGAGTTAACAAACACATCATTTTTTTTTCCTTATGTTCTTTTTATTTGACATTAATTGACATTTTTCTTGCTCCCATTACTCCCATAAAATTTTCATTTTGATGCCTTTTTGCGATTTTGGCACAAATTTATCTGGCCAACAAGAATTGATCAACTTACAATTAAATAAGCAAAAAGTTTGTTCATTTTGTTATAACTAAAAATCTTTTACACTCAAACTCAGATGCACTTAAGCTTATTGACTTCGTCAGAATTAAAACAACTCTAGCAAATTCTGAGACGTTCCAAAATTATGTCATTTAAACAAAGTATTGCAGTAGCCCTAAGCAGTAATCCCAAGCCAATGATTCTTGGATGAGTAGTTTAAGGTAAATAAATCAGGGCGAACATAGATAGACTACATGGTCCTAACCTTGTTCCTCTTGATGGCCTCGAGGGTGAGTTTGCGGAGTCTGGCCTTCCAGGTGTCGCTCTCTGTCTGCATCTGGGAGATCACTATCTGGTGCTGCACCTGGTCACTCTTCAACTCCTCAATGTAGTCCCGCGCACAGTTCAACACATCCGTCGTCGAAAAGTGCTTCTTCTTCCCCAGAATCTGAAAAGAGCAGCACATCCTATCTCTTTTTTATATATGTCAACATACTTCAAACGAGATTTTGAACAACTGAAGTAATGTGCGACAGTGCAAGAGTATTTAAGAAAAAACTAGGGTTCCTCATCCAAAAATATGTGCTTACGACTCGTTGTTGAGTATGTTTTTTTTTGGACTAATGGACACGCCAAATTGTTGTTTAGCAGAAATTGTTATGCTTTTGATTCACTGTCTAAAAGCTTACATCACTCCTAAGATGAAATGGTATGAGGTTCTCCAAAATGTCGTATCCCTTCTTGATCTCCGTCCTCCGCACGCGCTCGTACACCCTGTGGAATGTCGCAGTTTGCTCTTTCGCTTCCTCCTTGTCCATGGGTGGGGGCAGACCCTGGATCTTCGGCCTCTGTCTAGGTCTGCCCCTCCCCCTGCCCGTAGAGTGGGTTCGTTTCAAGCCCATTCGACTCATCTTGGCATGTTCAGCCCTGTTATTGGGCATCACTTTCAACTGGGTCTGTGGCCCAACTTGTTCCGGACAGAAGGTTTTGGGAGGAAGAGGAGAGCCTGATAGACTGTCGAGGTCCAAGTTGTCTCTGGCCATGTCACCAGGGGACCCTACCACGGGAGGCAGTGAGGGGGGCTGGATGGTGCTGTAGACTGGCATGTTTCCATCTGCCATTGCAGGACCTGAACATTGCCAGTGGTGATAGTATTAGTTAGTAGTAATCAGAGCAAAGCCCGTTTCTTATATTTACTGGTCAGCGCTTGTTGTTTGCAAAGGACTGGGAGTGCAATTAGTGTGTTTTTTCCTACTCACATAGAGTACCCCAAAGAAAAGCTGTGGGGGTCCGAGTTGATTACATCAGGGGTTACATAAAAGTCTTTTTAGCCGTGATTCGATTTAAATTTCGTTTCAGCTTTTTCGACTTTTTAAAACATTTCAGATTTCGTGATTTCTTTGCATCAATCATTGTGGCCGGAACATTCTGTGCTGCTAGCTAAATAATGCGCCCTCCTTGATCTACTTTAAAATCTAACTATTATGATATTTTTTAAACTGATGAGATCTTACTGATGGGCTCATAGTGAGGCTGTGACATCGGTCCCATGTAGAAGTCGGTGCCATGAGGTGCAGCACTGTACATGACGTGATGGTTGGATCCCGGAAACTCCTGTTGCTGATTTCGACTGTTAGGTGGAGCCATTAGTTCCTCTATTTTAGGCAACATCTGGTGTGGGCGGGGCTGATATAATCCCATAGGGTCATGATAGGTAGCTTGAGGCGGTTGCATCTGCATTGAGTGATATTGGGGAACGTAGTGGGCCTGGTGGTTTCCATATATGGCAGTTCCAGGTACCGAGGAAATATGGTTGCTTGAAAGTTGATTCTGGTATGTCACTGAAGCATTCTGTTGTAAATGAGCCTCACTTGTCATCAAGTTTTTGTCTGGGGAGTTAATCAAGTCGTTGAATGGTGAGTCTGAGTGCATCACGTGACTACTTCTGTCAATAATTGACTCATGCTGCGGTGTCATCGGATCCGGCATCCCCTCGTAGTAATGATTAGAATGAGCAGCGTGAGAGCCAGGTGTCATTGAGTTCAAATCGTTTGGGTCGAAATTGGACAGCTCTGTGAATGTTTGACCGTGGCTCATGATATGTTGCTGTGCCTGGAACTCGTGCTCCATCGTGGCATTATCTTGACTCTGATATGTCTGGTTCTCTGTTTCATGATCCAAAGAACTGGCTCCTCCTGGGTTAGGGAAAGAGTTGTCTCCGCTAGTTTGGCTGGAAGATGACTGCTGGTCCTGGACACACTGTTCGTCATCTGTGGAACTCTGCTCCAGGAATTGGGTGGATGTATGGTTCTGCTCATTTGGCCATGGCGCATGTATCTCATAGTGCCAGACTTTCTCTGACTCCTGTTCCCCCTGCAACAAAATTCTGCTATGATTACTTTGCTTTCAGATGTGCTACCTGGCGGATTGGGAACTATTGCATGGTGGAAGTTTTTTCTTGTTTTTATCGTTTTTTCATATCAAAAAATTGCACTTTCTCGCTTTTTTCAAATTGGTAACATCTTCAATAGCTTTGACGTGAAACTTGTATGTTTATCCAACCTATATGCTCTGATGTTAGGCCGATTTGTGGTAACCTGCAATAGTTTTGGCGTGTCGTGTTGTGAGGAGTTAACTGTGAAGTGGAAGGGGACATTGGACACTGTGTCTGCCATCTGTGTCACCACACTGTTAGCTACTTCATTCTCCCGCACACAGGAAAACTCCTCGTAGTAGCGTCTACACAACACACAGATGATGTTTTTGTTCAAACTTGGTTGATTTGAGTAAGTGACATGATTGTGTATGAGTGAAATGCTATTATTTTTCTTGAAAAGTTGGCGAGATTGTAGGAGTGAGAAATTTCGTCAAAAAATCATATCTATTTTTTGCTGATATTATTTTGAAGATGATGGCTCAAAGTGGCGCAACAAGAAAACAACTTGTAAAAACGGATAACTGGCAACACTTGAGGAAAGCGACAACTCGCAAAATTTGAAAATTAATTGGAATGCTGCATTATTGGCACGAATGGTATAAACGGCTTCAATCAGTGTTTGCTGCTTGTCTAGGTTGCTTGGCTTAGAAAAGAAGGCGATTTTTGTTTTCCTTAAAACTTGCTCGTTGTCTGTTTGCGAACTGTTGTCGAAGGAAGTCCGACAATAAAAGAGGGTCAACTTCAAAAGATTCCAATCTACAAGATAGTTTTTGCATTACTTGATGAGACTCGTAATTTGCGCTTTTGTCGAAAAAAATGAGACCAGTAAGTTTTAAAAAGGTTGATTGTGACGCTATCGGTATGGTATGTCCATTAGAAATCTGCCTTCCGAGTAACTTACTCTAATAGTGCTTTTCCCTGGAACGCATTTTGGTAGAAGTGGGCCAGTTGTTTAGTGTTGAGCACGTGACATACCCAGGCCCTCCCTCTGCCGAAGTCAGTGTGCACTTGGGGGAGAGAGGAGATCAGATCCACTTCAGTCGCATCCAGCGTCTCCTTCAAGTAGTCCCACAAAACTGCAACAAACCATGATTCATTTCAACTACTTGAGAGCTCCTCGATATTTGTTGTATGTAACCAATGAGAGTTGGAAAGATTCGACACTATGCATCAAATTGACGCTCTTCGGACAGGTGGTCGTCAAAGCTCCAAGATTTAGAGAAATTTAGTTTTATCTTAAGGGGATGTGGTACCGGGTAGTACTGCTACCACAGTAACCTTGGAGAATAGTGCTATTAATTATACTGTTATGTATTGTTATTATTATTCAAGGCCATTCATGCAGGCCAAACGCTATAGTCATTTCGGACGTTGCTGTTCTAGGAGACACATGAAAAGATAGTCATGATCTCTAATCTAAAACCAAGACAAGTTATCAGTTTGAATTAAACGTTTTACTCATTCTGTTTTATAATCACTTGCATTAAACTATTAGTTATCACATGGCGCAGCCAGCAGGATTTCTGTCCCAAGACAACAGAACGGATATGGGGATTCCGGTATTTTGGACAACCGCAAACTCCGACCCTCCTTAGAACTTTAGGATATGGTTAGATCAATTTTTCTTGGCAGTGACCGTGAAGGAGAGCGTGGACCCGGAACTTTTGTTACAAGAACCAAAAGAAGTTCTGTTGGAACAGTTACCAAGACCAGAAACCCCAAGGGAACATGAAAATCCACAGGCGATTGCAGATAGAGAAGCCAGAGACCAACTAGCCCGGGAAAAAATTAATCTGGAAAATGAAGAAAGAAGAGCTAGAGGACCAAAGGTTGGTCACAACGTATACTACAATGAGGTACAGAAAAGAGTCGCTTCCAGACTATTCTTGGCGTTGGGCACAGAAGGCAAGAAGAAATTCGTTCAGAAGAATCCACATGTGGAGGTGTCAAAGTTAGAATTTCGAGAGATGGTGGCATTGGCGAAAGTATCATTTGATAAATCACAGAGTGTTACATATGAACGTTATAAACTATTTAATCGATCACAGGAAACTGGGGAAACACTCGAGGCATTTCATGCAGCATTAACTGCTCAAACAGCTAAAGCTGAGCTAGGAACACTCGAGGACCAATTAGTGCGGGACCTATTCATCTCGAAAATGAAGAACGTGGCATTACAAGACACATTAACATTTGAAACATTTTCACCAGAAGAAGTACTGAAAAGAGCGTTAAAGTTTGAACAAAGTAAACAGACAACTCAGGCGTTTCAGAAAACTAATGCAACGACTGCAAGTACAGTTCAGGTATCTGGAGCAGCGAAGATAAAACAAGAACCCATAATAAGTATCGGCAACAAAAATGCTAGCGGAAGGAGACAACAAAACAATGGGTACAGGAAAAAATTTACAGACAGAAAGGAGGGGAGAAATTTTTCAGACTCAAAGAGGTGTACGCGATGTGGTCGAATATTCGGAGAAGGACATCTGAAGAAATGCCCGGCCATGGGAAAGACATGTAAAAATTGTTCTAAACCGAATCACTTCGCAAAAATGTGTAAATCACAACAAGTGAATGAGGTTGCAGAAAAATCATCAAGCTCAGATGAAGAGTGTAATTTGATTCAGTCATTCGAATCGTGTGAGGAGTTCGAAATTATGTCTGTTGAATCAGAACTGTCTTCGCTGGAAAAAATAGATGAATATATAAAACAGCAATCAAACAAAAACAAAGAAACCGAAAAGTACAGAAAGGATGTACAGAAGGTTGACATTAGACGAAATACTCGATCGAAACAAATAAGGTCACTCAAAGCTCTGGTGAGAATCGATCATCAGATCATAAATATGACTATCGATACGGGTAGTCCAGTATCTTTCTTGAACTGGGCGACTGCAAAGACGATCTTAGAATCTTCGAAAAAAACCAAGTTCATCCCACGGGAAAATCTCAATCTGACTACAAAATTTGTAGACTATAACAAACAGCCGATAAACATACTGGGTGCAATCACCACGAACATCGGTTCGCTGGGGTGGGAAGTGGTGGGAGCATCGTTCCTAATCACAGAAAGACGCACACGGTGTATTTTGGGGCTGGATTTACAGAGTAAAGTGGGAATACACACAACACAGAAGTTAGCACCAAAAGAAAAGACGAGGTTTGATGTCTTACTGTGCGAACAGTCAGAAGGTTAGAAAAACAAATTTTACAGTAAATTTAAGAATATTTTTGATCGTCAAGGGTGTTCAAAAAACCATGTGGTCAGCACAAAGTTCAAATACCCGCTCTGTCCTTTACAAGAAAAGGGGAGACGCATTACGATACACATACAGGAGAAAGTGTACGAGGAAATGAAGAAGGGCATATAAGAAGACTAGACAAATGCACTAGTGATTGCTTTATAGCACCTATTGTAATAACAGTGAAAAAAGATGATTCCATAAAATTGGCGCTAGATGCAAAACCCATTAATAGACAGTTGTTGAAAAATAAGTATGAAATGCCAAATGTGGACGAATTGTTAGATGGTGTTAGCCAAATTGTCACAGCAAACACAAGCGGTAAACTGTATTTCTCAGTACTAGATTTGAAGTACGCGTACAGTCAACTTAAGCTGACTGCAGAGACAGCGAAACAATGGAATTTCAACATCATAGGTGGGCAAGCCACAGGTACTTACAGATTTCTGACCGGATTTTATGGTTTGGCAGACATGCTAGCAGAGTTCCAAAAAGCTATGGACAGAACATTAAATCATGCGGAAAATACATTCTGTTTTCTTGATGACATACTCATTGTATCAAAAGGGAGTGAACAAGAACATGAAGAATTGATTATGAATGTACTAAAAAAATTAGATAAAGAGAATTTGGCATTAAAATTGTCGAAAAGTGAATTTTTTCAACAGGAGGTGAATTGGTTGGGGCATAAGTTATCGATGGACGGAATTTCTCCTAAAAAAACAAAAACCAAAGCGATATTAAAACTTAGCCCGCCAACATCACTGAAACAGCTTAGATCATTTCTGGGTAGTATAAACCATCTGGCCAAGTTTATCCCAAATGCGGCTACGTTAACAGAAAAATTGAGACCACTATGCGAATGTAACAAAAATTCATTATTACGACCCCAGTCTAGATACTAGGGTGAAATGTGATGCCAGTCACAGTGGGCTGAGCGCATCGCTAGAACAACAAAACGTCGAGGGGGAGTGGATACCAATCGCATTCGCTTCCAGATACTAAAACACACAAGAAAAAAATATTCCACAAATGAGCTCGAACTGCTTGCAGTTGTATGGTCGGTTGATCGATTCAAACACTACTTATTAGGTAAGGAATTCGTGATAGCTACAGATCATAAAGCTCTGGTTTCTGCTTTGGATGAAAACAAATCAAATAAAACGTACCAATCTAGATTAACTAGATGGGTAGACAGACTATTACCCTATCAATTCAAGGTTGTTCATCTGCCAGGGAAAGATATGGGTATAGTAGATTATCTTTCTCGAAATCCAAAGGGTGAACCTTGGCCGGAGTCAGTGTTGGATGAGAAATTCGTAGTTACATCAATCGAAAGTTTCCATAAAGCTCTCGACTGTTTAAACAGTCGACTAAATGATCAGGATAGGCTCGACCGGAGCAAAAACTTTCTAGAATATTCTAGATTTGATCAAAATGCGTCGAATAACAACAAGTCATCTACCCGTTGCTAAGGCAACCAAAACGGTTCAAAACGGACAAAGCACGTCAGAACGAATGAAATGAAGATTCGCGTTCGTTTCAACGTGAAAAGCGTGAAAATCCAAAAATCAGTTTATCTCAAAATCGTCAGCGGATTCAGTCGGTTCAATCATTAGAAAAAACCAGAAATTTTTTAAATCAAAAATCAGGCAAAATGCACTCAGGCGAATTGGAAAAAAGCGGAAAAGAAAAAAAGATGGTCAGGATTCAGGAGCGAAATAACATCAATACATTGAGAGAAGAAGTAACAACAACGTTTCAAAGAACCAGGATGATACAAAGGACCCCAAACAGATCACACCCAGAGGATTCGGACTTCGAACAAATACCACAGGCGAGGTGGTATTTGCCAAATACACAAGGCAGGGCAAGCCCAGAAAAAAGAGGGCAATCAACTTAAACTGCTTCAACAGCCAGCCCAGGAAAAAGAGGACAATCAACTTCAACTGTTTCAACAGCTCAATCAAAAGTATTTTCATTCTGGGAACTGGTTGGTTCAGGAAGGAGTACAGAACCTACAGAACCCACATTACCAGCGATGGAGTTAGAGGCCATTTCGGGGATACAAAGCCCGAAACCACCAGGACTAATCACATCTGGAGACGAAGCGGAAGTGGGACAAATCGTCGAAGTCGACTTAACTCTGGATAGTGACGACCGGGATTACAGTTCAGGAACAGAGACTTGTGGGATCACACCACAACAGAAAACAAGACACAATTCAAGAAAATCCGAGTACAAACGGGGGGAACAGCTAATGGACGCAGAAAACCCGCTTTCACTCGACAAACTATTTGACAAAAGTCTACTCGCGGAATTAGTATCAGAAGATACCTGGATAGATAGGCTCAGAAGAGTGGTGGAACGAAACGACAGACATGGATTCGAGCTCATGGGGCCCTACACCAATCCTCTGTGGCACCAGATGTCGGTGGTAGATGATTGCCTCCTGGTGAACAATCGTTTGGCCGTGCCCGAAAAGTTGAGGCAAGCAGTGCTCCGACGACTCCACCAAGGTCATCCTGGACAGGAAGCAATGTTGGAGGTATCAAACTACCTGTGGTGGCCGCATATGCACAAAGACATAGTCAATATGGCCGAAGAATGTAGAAGTTGTACTCGTTATGATAAAGAACACTTGGAGAGATCTGCGCTAACAGCATCACAGTTGAAAAGGCGAATCGATCAGTCGAGGGAGAATGTTAAAATCATTCGGAAAGGACAAAATAGCAGGGGTACAAGCCCTTTGTTTCGACACGACACGGCGACAGCGAAAGATAAGGCCGGAGCAAAGGAATTAAAACAACTTCTAGAGGCAAACGCTAGGTGGAATGCCACCAGACGGGATCTCTCAGACAGCGAACTACGCCGGGTCGTAGATGAAACCAGCACGATAAATCCCGAACTGAGAAAAGAACTCTTATACTCATGGGAACGTGGATTCATCGAGGACAAACAAACTACATTAAAGGAGGACTTGTCTGGAAGTTTCCTCCGGAAACACGAGCAAAGGAAAAGCGGAAAGGCCCTGACAATACCCTTGAAAACCAAGATAGTATCAGAGACACCATCGACCATTAAAACGGCTGCTGGTGCAGTATACAGAAAGAGCGACATAGCGAGATCTAAACTGCCAGCACAGCCCAAAGCACATAACTCGGAGAAGAAGAGGAGCCCAACTGGGGAAGAACCGCGAAGTAAACAGCAGAAAACAGTAGCACATCAGGAAGAGGAAGACAGCGATTCTGCTGAAGAACACGACGCGAAAGACCGGGGGACAATAGACGAAACCTAGAAGATAGTCAACTAAAGGAAAAGTTCCAAAACTCGCCGAGCATAGTCACATCAAAAGACACTAAGACCGGCGGAGGTCTTAACTTAGGAGGAAAAAGGGGAAAACCGAACAGAGCAGGACCGGTGTTTCAGAACACAAAACCGACAAGAGGCAAAATACAAGAATCACGAACGACAAAAGCTGCCAAAACAGTTACTAAGAAACGGGATAAGAGCAATGAGGCAGTATACATAGAGTCGTCTGCACCGAAAGAAGCTCCAACAAACAAAAGAATCGCACAACAGACAAGTGAAAAGGAAATTCTGGACACATTCCAGAATAATAACATGACATCGCAAGAATGGGAGGAAATAACAAACCAGGTGTTGACCCGAGGAGTCCAAAAAGAAGCAGAAAAAATACTGACACAACAAATGGACCCAGTAGATTACTCCACACCAGGATTTGCGGATGAATCGGAAAAAGAGGAAGATACCACGACAGTCAGACGGAGTAGCAGACAAACTAAAAACCAGGGACCGAAGAGATATGGCAGTCCCGTATCACACTTGATAAAACTGATCGATTGTTAGGGCGATGTCACTGAGTTAAATTTGGCAGCACTTGAGGCCTACAGATTGCGATTAGCGAAGGTAAACCTAAACAACGAAGAAACTTCGGAAAGCAACACGTTTGACAGGCTAGAGAGACACCTCTTCAAAAGAAAGTTTGGTGCTACATCGCTGGACGAGGCGGGATCATGGAACGTCGCAAGAAACAAGGAGGTAGTATTGAAGAAGATAACAAAGGAAAACTAAAGAAAAAGAGAACTTTTTCAGTAAACTTTGAATCAACTCGTATTATTTATAAAATTTCATAAAGTACTATATAAAATTTTGTTGTCGCCAAGGGAATGTGGTACCGGGTAGTACTGCTACCACAGTAACCTTGGAGAATAGTGCTATTAATTATACTGTTATGTATTGTTATTATTATTCAAGGCCATTCATGCAGGCCAAACGCTATAGTCATTTCGGACGTTGCTGTTCTAGGAGACACATGAAAAGATAGTCATGATCTCTAATCTAAAACCAAGACAAGTTATCAGTTTGAATTAAACGTTTTACTCATTCTGTTTTATAATCACTTGCATTAAACTAATAGTTATCACAGGGGAGATGTATAACATTTTTAGCAATATTTTTCCAAAAGGATTTCTAGTTAACATTAAGATAATTCTATACGCTGCATCTCGAACAGTAACGCACTTAGTTGACAGCCAAGTTAATTGAAAAGAAAATGGATTAATGAAGTATTTATAGCAAACGCTAAAATGAGATTTAAAAAATTATTAAAAGAGTAATTAGTTGATTAAGTTGTTTTTGACTACTCTTAGCCTTACCTGGTGAGAACTCCTTGACAGTCAGTACTGCGATGGGAGTGTTGTGCTGGTGCCTCTGGGCTGCGATGTCCATCACACTCTGGCACAGCTTCCTCTTGAGACCGAAAGTGAGGAAGGAGTGGAGAGAGGAGAAGAACTCCTCGTGCAGTCTCTCCCTCTCCACCTTGTCCTTCTCCCGCTCACTCTCATCTACGTACTCCTCCTTCAACTTCAGGTCCACAAACTCACGCAGCTAAAGCAGACAGAGCAAAACATAAACGAAAAGTGCTCTTTCACCTTTCCCAACGAATCCTTCAAAAATTGTCCACACCTTCATTCGCATGTTAAAAATTTGCTCGCTGTTAGTTTCAATAAAATATGTAACAGCGGACGTCGTTTTAAATAGCGTTTAGGGGATCATTTTTCCAGCAAAAACCAACTGGGGTAACTTAAAAAGAGCCGTGAAAAGCATTGTACCGTTGCTTTTCATTCATAAAGTTTATTTCTGATTATATCCTATTGAGTTTAATTTTTAGGCCAGGTATTTGGGAGGGGAGGGGCTAACTAAGGATAGGCCTCTTGGATGTTTCTGTTTTGCAATCGGGCTGCTTGCTGCATGAATAAGAAAAAGTAGAGAATTCAGAATGTTACTTACATAGGGGTATTTTCCGGTCAGCTACGAAAAGAGGTGACTTTTAAGGGTATTGATTTTTATTTAAAATTATATTCTACCACTGATATTCTGCTACAAACTTGTGAAGTGAAAAATGACCACAGCGAATATTAAATCTAAGAAAAGACTTACATTGGTGGCGGCAGAAGTTAGTTGGGCGACTATCTGTTTCTGCTGTTCCACCATCTGCACGTGATCAATCGGTGGCTGCCCCTCCCCCTCCCCCTCCCCCTCCCCTCCTGCCCTCTCACTGTCCGCTGCGATTGCTGCTTCCATTTGCTTAGCAGCCAGAGCCATCTGCCCCAGTTGGGTCTCGTTCTGGTTTTCAGTCTGGTTTGCTTGCCCAGATTCAGTTGTGTTGTCATCAGCATGAGTTACTTGCAAGGATGGTGGCAAAGATAACTCTTTTTCAAGAATTTGAGAATTGATCGCTTCCCTTGCTGACGAAGATTCACTTTCGCTAAACGTTTTGGTTAATTGCAAACTATTTTCTGTTCCAGATTCTGCATCAAGAATATGAGCATCCGGATTTTCTTGAGAGGTTTCGTGCGGTACTCTTTCCTCACTAGGTTCTTGTCTGACATTTTCAGCCAATTCCGAAGGCTCATTGGTTGTTATATGTTCACTGTTTTGCACATCTTCCCTGTTTTTAACTGCTTCAATGGGTTCAGCTGAATCGTTTTCCAGAACTTCCATGGGCGGCACTGTTGAAATATCTGCATGTGAATCCATTTTTTGATTATCGACAATGGATTCTGCTCAGACTAAATAATCGCTAGCTAAAAGGTCAAACGGGGGTCAACTTGAAACAGTAAACCGGAGTAGCTGTGATGAAATGAGATCGCACACGACTTCCACTCTCTAATTGATGACTTTTGGTTGAACTCCAAAGTTAAAGTTAGAGTTAAAAGAACAAAACAGTAATGTAATTGATACAACAATGGATTTCAATTTAATCCTCAAACAAAAATTGTCGCAAAAATGAAATCTTTGTTTTAACTCGTCATTTTAAAGCATAATTTTTTTCATTATAAAATTGCTATTTTAAGTGTTCAAATGAAAAACGGAAATTGGGAATTTAAAAAAAAAACAATTTTTTAGGTAGCCGAAATATACTTTTTAAAATTATGCCACTTCTGCGGCAGATCTGAACGACAAATGCTTTAGTATTAAATTCACCTGTCCTCTCAATTTTTAATATTATTACGTAATTTCTCTTTCTTATATAAATGAAGTATATCGTATTGTAATGTGTGCATATTGGCAATGATAGATTAAGCCAGGTGTAGGCGAAAACCAAAGAAGACTTGAATGAATATATTAAACTCACCACGTCAAAAATCACATATATTTATTTGTATGAAAAATCACAGCATAAAACACGAAAAAATGAATGCAAGTTTAAACGAGCCTTGACGAATTTAAGCAAATGGCGAGTAAAAACACCTGCACCTTTAAAGTATTTTTGTTCCATTTAAAAAAGCATGTGCTTAAAATCAACCAAAAAATATAAAACATGGTTCTAAAAAATATGCATGTACCAATAATGCAATAGAAAAATTTCGCTGGAAAAAATAGTTAATACATATTTTCAGTTTTTGCAAAAGTTTTAGCTGTTATTAGTTTGAATAAATTGTGAAAAAAAATTTGGCTGATCTATTTAAAACGCGCACTAATTAGCTTAATGGAGGCGGGCGAGTTGTTCCAGCACTGTGTGGCCATCATCAACTCCTATCGACCTCTGGACGTGAGTGCGGACAGTCACGCAGAGGATTACATCAAAGAGAAGAAACTGACGACATGCAGTGACCAGGACAGGGCATTCATGCTGGAGATATTCGGGGGGTACATCCGACAAAGAAAAGTAGTGGACGTTGTGGTGGAGGCATTCTTCAACACAGACGGCCTCAGCTACGTAAGTTCCGACAAGAACACTTACACAGTCGCCTGCTATACTATTCTGTTCCGAGCTGAAGAAATGGGAATACCCAAGTTGACAGACTTCATTATTTCTCAAGACTGGGCCAAAATGTGGACATTTTGTCGCTTTTTGATCAACAAACAGAACTTACTGACGTGGACAAAAGATGAATGGCGTAAGATTTATGAGGACGATTACGTAAACGAGGTGTTACTTGGTCCCCTGCTTGACAATTTTGAGTCACTTTTCTCTATTGTGCAGTGTTTGAGACAACTGCAAGACGATGACGCTGAGCCGAGAGGTCACGTGGTCAAAAGAGACCCAACAGTACCCGAGCCCTTCACATTGACAAAACCAAAACCCAGAAAAATTCCCACTCCTGAAGTTATTCCAAAAGTAAAACCAGTTAGAAAGATTCCACCTACAACATACCAAGAGCCAGAGACGCAGAAAAAACTGGCAGAAATTCGGGAAATAAACAAGCAGAAAGCACAAGAAAATCTGATGCAAGCTAATCAGCTACAATTTGCATGTGCGGCCACGGGTAAAGTATCACGCGACGAAACTGAGCGCTCGGAGGAAATAGTTCAGTCGGCTGACTACGCGAATAACAGAAGCACGGGAGTCGGCTTCAAATCGGCTCCTGCACCGACAAGACCGAACGAAGTACCTGTCAAACTGAATACTGCTACCATACTACGCGAAGAGAGGCTATTCAAGGAAAAGGAAAGCGAGGTTATAAATAAATTAGAGCAACTTCAAGCAGGCGCCAAAGACTCCTCTGAGTTTATGCAATGGCAGAAAGATATGCGACAGAAAGATTACGAACAAGAACTGGCGGATATTGAGCGACGAAGATTGGAAGGTCTTTTGAGTCACGAGGAGGCTATTTTAGCCCGGAAAAGAGCAGCCGAAGTGAACCGGGAAAGAGCAAATGTCGTGAAAGACGAAGCGGCCGCACGAATGCGACAATACCTAGCCATGAAACTGAAGGAGTCAGAAGAAACGAGAAAGTTAGTCGAACAGGTCATAACGGGTCACAAAAACGCCAAACAGGCAGTGAAGAAAATTCAGGATTTCAAGCAGAAATTGGCTCAGAAAATGAGTATGGAAAATAAAGAATTGCTCAAAAAAGCATTCGAGGAGGCGGAGGCTGAAATGCAACAAAAGCAAGAGATCATTCGGCAGATAAGAGTGCTTGAATGTCTGCCGCGACCAAAAACTAAGACATTCGACCCGACTGAAATAGCAGGTTACGGACTTTTCGGGGAGATGTCTCTATCTGAATTACGAGAAAGATTAAATTTGGCTAAAATAAATCAGGATAAGGAAGAGGCAGAGAGGCGTGATGCAATTCTGAAGGAAAAGGTGGAAAAAGAAAACCAAATTGTGGAAGCAATGGAAACAATAAATAGACACCGAGGTGAACAAACTCGAGCAGCGGCCATTCGATTGGAAGAAAAACGACGTGAACAAATGAGTGAAAAGCCTGAAAAAACTAACCCGGAAGTGCTTAGACTTCAGAAACTTCTAGAACAAAAGAAACAGGAGCGAATCAACCGACAAATTGCAGATCAAACGGTGCCAGCTATTTCTGCAGTCAGACTGAGTGATCTGAAAAGGGAGAAAAAAGATGTAGAAGCGGGGAGATATGAGAGTATAGACAAAGGGAATGAGCAACTGGTGAAGCGACAGGCGAATGGGCTAGGAGGCAGCGCCAGGGCCAGTCGGATAGCACTGGGGTCTTAAAACTGATATTTTAGAGTTTGATTGAAAGCAACTTAATTTTGAATTCATCATAAAAAAAATTCAAATCGAATTCTGAAGTACTTACAACAGATGAGCGGGATTTTTAGTAAAAAATAATTTAAATTTTGAGGTGGTAACTTCAAACTAATTGGGGAGCGATTATATAGGAGTGCGGTCTGTATTTAGACAACCGCGCATTTATACTTGTCAGTAAGCAGACAAATACTATATTAACCAATCAGAATCGAGATGAGAAAGCAATCTGACGAAATAAATATTTATTAATTATTGATTTCTTCCTTGTCTCGATTCTGATTAGTATGTGTCTGCTTACTGACGAGTCTGAAAATGCGGTTGTCTAAATTCTGCTACGTAACCGATTATACAGTAACTCTGCCGCTGGATCGAAAAGACGTTGAGGCCAGGCCCACCATGATTCGTGCTCGATGCTAGCAATAGCAAGCATCATGTCTCAGTCCCCTAATTTTAATAGAAATCGCGATTCACACGTAGCATCTTCTGATGATTCAGTGTTATTTTTTTGGTAAACCTATATCTTGCTTTTTGATTTTTACCAGTATCAAATATTGGAACCCTTTCAGTTAACACTCATAACATTTTCGGGTGATTGGCTCAATATGAATCCTGGAAAGGTGAATACATCAAAGCCTTGATATATTTGCTCTGAAATCATGTTACAGTTTTCCCCGCTACAGTTTCTTTCAAAGAATGTGGCTATATGAATGGACTTAATGTGTGTATTGGAGCCCATGATACTCGATCCAATTTTAGGAAGGTTGTATCAGTCCCATTTTTTAGTCGATAGTATTTCAATTGAGCCGCGGCGTGCGCAGTAGGAGAAATACGGCCGGTTTTTTAAAAAAATATTTGTCTGTTTTTTTTAGGTTCCGACTCTTTTTTTAAGCTCTACCATTGCCCTAAGAAGACCCTAGCTTACCTCAAAGTTCTGCGACCAGAAAAAGTTTTTAGTAAAAAGTCCAAAATGAGATATTCGATCACTTTTAAAACGCTTTGAAAAAAAAACGTTCGTTTTTTCGCGGTGGCGCTCCCCTCAAATTAAATAAAACTTGTTCAAAAACTGTTCAACTTATGCACGACTATCTGAATAATGTTCAATTTTACCCCTCACGAATTGTCACTTGACACGATTTGTATACCTATTAGGCTTGCTAACCGCAAGCTATATAACATCCATGGGGCAACTGTATGAATCACGCAAGATTTCGTCAATAAAAAATTAGATGACAAACGCTGATTAAATAATATTTGATAGTCATGCGTACATGAACGTTTTTTGTCCAACAAATTCTGACGACAAATAGTCAATTCTTAAATGAAATTAGTTATGGCGAGAAATATTTAAGATAAAAGACATAAAAAAGGCACAAAAAGGATAGGTTTGTCAATTTATGAAAAAAATGTATCCAGCACAGCTTTTTTTGAGTTTTTTATTTACTTGCACAGCATCCGACTATCCTTCTTTATTTATGGATTCAGCACTAACCCGAAAATTCAGAAAAAATTTAAAAGGCCTAAATCGGAGGTTTTCCCAGTGACAGACAGTTCTTCTATCAACTTTCATGCGGAATCCGCATTCTTTGTCAAAAGGTACAGTTTGGCTTCTAAAAGGTGCCAACCAATTATTTCACCGTCAAGAATGATAAAAAACTGGAATTGTTTGCTTTGGAATCGCGCGCATTAGTTATCCCACAGTTTACATGATCGGTTATCATAAACACTATTTAAAGTCTGAATCAAAGTAACCGATACCAAAAGTGTTTTCTTCTACAAATTAAGACACCAGATAGATTGCTACGTCTTTTTTTCTGTCGCAAGACATTTTTAAAATTCATTTCTCGTGTTCTCATATCTCGATTTTTTTTAAAGAATTATTAACCTTTGACGAAATAGTAGCTCAGCCCATTGGATTTTTGCTACTGATGATGTAGAATTGGTGATTCTACTGTATTACATGATATAGTAACCTGAGCGCAAGATTGATTCGTCTTGAAGTTAAGTAGAACAGCAAACAAAGGGTAGAGTTCACAATAGTTCATTATTCGAAGATATCGTCCCTCCTATGCCAGAAAACAAAATATGACAAAATCGGCAACTCCCCCAAATTGGAACTAAGAAAGCTAATGTTATAAAATTCAAAGGAGCGATACTAGAGATGATTTGAATCGGTTATCATAAACACTATTTAAAGTCTGAATCAAAGTAACCGATACCAAAAGTGTTTTCTTCTACAAATTAAGACACCAGATAGATTGCTACGTCTTTTTTTCTGTCGCAAGACATTTTTAAAATTCATTTCTCGTGTTCTCATATCTCGATTTTTTTAAAAGAATTATTAACCTTTGACGAAATAGTAGCTCAGCGCATTGGATTTTTGCTACTGATGATGTAGAATTGGTGATTCTACTGTATTACATGATATAGTAACCTGAGCGCAAGATTGATTCGTCTTGAAGTTAAGTAGAACAGCAAACAAAGGGTAGAGTTCACAATAGTTCATTATTCGAAGATATCGTCCCTCCTATGCCAGAAAACAAAATATGACAAAATCGGCAACTCCCCCAAATTGGAACTAAGAAAGCTAATGTTATAAAATTCAAAGGAGCGATACTAGAGATGATTTGACCCGGGCATACAAAAAACATGATCCCTCAGACTCTTGGGGTGCAAGTGATAACGGTCCCCGGAAGTGCAAATGGCCCTTTCAGAACTCGGAAACTAGCTGCGGTTTTAGGCTCAACTTTTAGTATGTTGTAAGCCTAGTTGAGGGAAGCTTAAGTTTGGAACCCCCAGACTCCTAGGAACCATACTTCCGGTTTTATGACCTAAGTTAACAAACCCACCCCCAACTTCCGGAAGTCGTTTCTCGGCTTCCAATGATTGCAGGGAGCTGAAATTTGGAGAGATGATAGGTAATGGCACAATACATCTTGCTTTATAATTTGAACCAAATCCGGCGATTGGATGGAAAGCTATTTGCACTTGAGAAAACACCCTCTTTGATGGGAAATAGGCAGTTTACGCAAAATGATGAACGGTGGCATAATGATTTTATTGTAGCAACTGATACAAGATAATAACCCCAAAAAAAACCTTCCAAGTGAAATTCCACCGGCGACTCCTTCCGGTGTTAATAGCTTTTTTCCGGAAAAAGTGATAATGGACCTTAAAAATGGTATAACCTGTGAAGTATTAATGGGATATGAATGGAACTTGGTAGTTAGGACCCCCATGGAAATCTGAACTTAAATATGGAATTTTGACCCGGTTTGACCCCTGGGTGACCTTAAGTTGACCTTTGGGCTATTTGACCCCAAATTTGCATAGAAAAACCCGAGTTTAGCACCGGAAAGGGGCGTATTCTCCAGCCAACCCCTGGAAATGAGAATGGGTGACCATGCTAAAAGTTGGGAGGAAAACTCAAATTTTCGTAACTAGAGCAGAAGCTGATAGAAATATAGCTTTTACATTGCAATCTTGGAGTAGTAGAGTTAATTCGAAGTGGACTTGGTAAACATTGGGTTCAGTTTAGCTTGGCGAGTGATCTATTAATAGCAATTCAACTAGACAAAGGAAAAGTAGTCCCAGAGGAAATTGATAGTATTAGGACCGTGGCATGAGAATTAAGTCTTCTAAATAAAATTAACGAACAGGGAATTTACCTAGCTTCCCGGAGGTGACCTTTTGGTTTAGTTTGACCCCTGATTGACAAACTACCTCCCCCTGATAGCTAGAAGGTCGGGATTGGAATAGAGTACAGATCGAAATTTTAGATGCTTGGAATGAATTCGCTATCCATGAAAAGGGTCTCCCCCTACCTTTGCTAGGTCGGAATGTTAAAGTGATAATTAAAGTAAAGACCTTGGGAGGGTCACTGAGTAAACATAGCATGGTTTGGAGTTGAGTTGAACTCGAGGGCTGAGGCCACTCAGGTCAGGAACTAGCTGATTAGAATCGTATGACATTTGCTTGCTTGGTCAAATTGTGACACCTACCGCATACCGGGTATCTAATAAGCTTGAAAAGATTGATAAAAGAAACCAAATTTGGCACGTGGCAGAGTTGACAAGAGGAGGGATATAGTCTTAAAACAGGTGCGGACGGGTGATTTAAGCGGATAGCAGGACTGATAGAGAATGGCGTGACTTAACTAAAACTAAGTGTAATGAAAGATAAGGAATTGGAGGGTACCGGAGAGCCTTGAAGAGTCAGAACAGTTGTTAGCTACTATTAAGAGTAGTTATTTCTCAGTCATAGAAGAGAGCAATTGATACTGAGAGAGAGTAGTTGGTTCTCCTTTAGTTAGACAGAACAATTTTTGCTAGTTAGTCAAGTAATTGGTTTTCGGAGTAAGAGACCAGCAGATAGTTAGTTGTCATCAGAGATTCTCTAGAGAGAGAGAGAGAGAGAGAGAGAGAGAGAGAGAGAATAGTTAAATGTTAGTGGAGTTAGTTGGAAATTATTTGCAATTAGGCAATTTGGCCGATAAATTGCGGACCCTTTCCTTTTGATTTGATTGTTAAATTAAATCCTGGCCACTCAGAGCCTTCTGTAGTTTGACATAAAATCATCTCAATTAATTTATCATTGGAAATTTTTGCAATTCTTTCGAGTAGACAAGACAGCGGAAGAGCAATACACAGAAGGGGCAAGCAACATAATACAATACAGAATAGTTGCCACAAAAAAAACCCTTTTGGGATTGTAGATAGTAGTGAATCTCGGTAGCCCCGCTGAATTCACTGCCCAATGGACGACTTTGCGGTGTCGTTAGGTAAAAGAGAGAAAAACCTAGAGAAGAAATCCCCTAAATCTACAGATGATATAAAAAAACTGCAAAAAATTTGATATAAAGCTTATGAACTTAAATCATTTTCACATGCCCAGAAATTTTTACAGCAGATAGTTTTCAAAAAAAAAGTAATTTGTAACATATATTTTGCATTTTAATAATTGGAAATTGCGCAAAATCAATACGCCGTATCGGACATTTAACTTCGAACGTTCGCTACATTTTTCTCATGAGCAAATTTATTGCCATGTCTTTGCTCTCCGCGTCTCCCAGTGCCCTGAGGAAAAAGGCCACCTGTTTGATCACATTTTGTTCATCTCCTCGTTTGTCAATCGTCCGCACCAACTCTCGGCTTGCATTCACGCACGTTCCTTCTGTTATCGACTGCCAGTCCTCTGTGTAACTATTCGGCACACCAGCTAACTGTGCTGCTTCGAGTATTGTTGAGACATTTCGATAGTTGGAATCAGTTGTCGTTAACCAGTGCCAAGAGCATTGCCAGAACGCTTCCGTTAGATCCTCTTTGTGTTTAGAGTAAAAAGTTGAAATTTTTTGTTCGTAGTCCAACGCGGACATTGCACTAAGCTGGAAAAGTTGTCTAAGAACTTGTTTTCCTTGTTCTACTGTCACCTTTTCCTTGACAATTGTCAACACTTCGCCTAAATTCTGATCTTGTAATTTGTTGATTTTGTTCTTTTCGAGTTGCAAGTCCTCTAGTAGCTTGAGCCAAGACATTTTACATGTTCTGAGCACCTCTTTCAAAGTATCATGTGTCAGGACAACTTCTGAGTCGAAAAAAGCGATGGCCGATTTGGCATTTGCTTGCTTTTTAGGGGAGGCAGCTTCAATGAACGAATTTTTTCTCTTATAACCTGGTCTCTCTGTAGTAATGGGAACCACTTGTAATTCCAGCTTCAAATGGAACAACTTCTGCATCTTTTGAGCTTCCTCGCGCAAAAATTCTTTGTAGTATGTGATTGTACCTTCTGGATCACGAGACTTTGAGATGATTTTCATTTTGTACTCTTGTTTGTTGCTTTCATGCTCAGGATTAGGATAGTAGAAGACGAGTTTTTTGTCATCCCGCAACGAGTATCCGTAGTGTTCGTCAATCAAGAGGTTCCCGGCTATCGACCCAAAGATCAAATCCCCTTCACTCATTTCGTTCAATTTTCTGAATCTTGCTCCAATTGTAAGCTTCAACTTTTTATGTTCTTCCTCGTTTCGAAACTTCCTGCAGTCGAATATGATTTTAGTGTCGTACTGGGACGGGCAAACAATAAGATAAACAGACTCTGGCAGGTATATTTCCCAGAAATCAGTTGGGTTTAACGTGCTTTCTTCGCCATTAGTCACAGCCCCTACAGGGGAAAATGTAGTCGACGAATACTTGAAAACTCCGTCCAGCAGTTCGTATTTTGACGAGTCGTTGACAGCCTGCCATTTTTTCACATCTCCGTCATTGTAAGCGAACACTTTAGTCTTCCGGTCTGTTTTCCAGGAAAAGTCGTGATTGTTTTGAATGCTGTAAGGCATAGTGACAGTAGCTGGTTTCAAGAAAGGCTTATCGTCTATCTGATCTATGAACAGAAATGGACTCAGCATGCATACAGATTCCTGTTTGGACTCGCATACGCTTTTGACCAGTCTTTCTGGCATACAATGCACCTCTACACACACCATTCTGTCCTCAAATGTCGAGTCTCGTGACCATTCTACGGAGACTCCGTTGGAAAAGCGCAGAGTCACTGGCTCTGGCGTGAGAGTGAACCTTGTGAAGCCCCACCCACTATGATCCACTTCCACCTCTATTACATCATAAACAGGAGAAATCGGGTTCTCTTGCGTAATCGAAGATGACTCATCGACCACATCTTCACTGGACTGTACCTCGATGTTGAGTTTCCCCAATTTTTCTACAGCTTCTCTTGGCAAGCAGAAACCAGGAGTTGTCATTTCAATTATCAATTGCTCGTCCAGCGCTTTCTGGCAATTCTTAGTTAAGACATCAGCCAGAAATTCAATGTTTGATCCCTCAAATTGTTTTAGTCCAAACATGACTTTTTTCGCTGCATTTTTCCAATGATTATCAGATGAGGTTGAATTTCCAATTGATAAAACGCTTAGCAGTGGACTGCAGTTTTTGCAAGTTGGATTTTTACATGAAGAATTTAAGTTCTCAAAGTCGTATGTTCTAGACCCTTTGAAGCTAATTTTAGTGAAAAAATTGGCAAGCGATTCACATGTGTTTGCAACAATGTTGAGCCCCAAGCTGAATTTATTCAGAGTTCCGTTCTCAAAAGAGAGTTGAAGCAAGTCCACTGATTCGTGTTTGTACTCGGAGAAAACTGAAAGTTGTTGAGAGTCAACCAAATCAAGCAATTCAGATTGAGATGATTCGACACTGAGTTGGCAGATGAAGAGAAAGGAAGCGTTTCTCTCTATTCCTCTAACACCTAGAGTGCACTGGTTCAATTCTAAGACAAACTCTTCAGTCGTTTTTCCAATATTCGAGATATAATCACAGAAACTGACCATTTTCTCAGGGGAACCAAACTCAATATTGACTCGATGCAAAGTGATTGACTTGAAAATGGAACTGTATTTATGACAGGTTTCAACCATATCTGGTCGCACAATTTGAGGAATGTCAATTAGAGTAACTTTTTTCAGATTAGGTGCGTGTGTGGGCAGTTTTTCAAAAACAAACGAGAAAAGGTTGTCTTGAGACAATGTCTCACAACTGAGCTCCAGATTGTGCAAATGCTTGAACTTTGAAAGAATTTTGAGGAGCCTATCAACATCCAAGTTGGTGACGCAAACACGCATTTTTTGAATGGATGAACGAACTTTCCAAGAGAGTATTTCGGACGCATTGAAAAATATTTCCCTGATATGGATACTCAACTGTCGATTTGATATATCCACATCCTCTGTCATGAAATGCTTGAGTTTGCAGTTCGACTTTATCATCACATTATGCTCATCAATTTCCCAAGTTTTCAGATGATGTTCAATTTCCCTGGCAAGAAATGAGTGATTTTCTTTCAGGTACAAAATCTCAGTCTCTCGCATTCCAGAATCAAGACTGATTAAATATCGTTTTATTATGAAAACTCTCAAGGAAAGGGACAACTGTTGCATAAGATGCTGGTCCGAATAGTCTTTCATTCTTAGATAGTACTCGACTATAGTTTCTTGCAAAGACTTGAACTGTTGGCTGATCTCCTTAGTAGTAACTGGTTGTTGCTTGCGAACTGTTTCATTTTTCAGCATATCGATGATCTTAAAGTTGATGTACTTTTCACGATACTCGTCAGCATTTCCCACTTCTTGTAAATTACAATTCAGGTGCATCAACGAAGTTATCAATGACAGCGTCATCACATCGTTATCGTGAGGAAGCTCTTTCATCAATTTTTGATATAAGTTCTCGTTCCAGAACTTACCCAGCATTTTGCGCGCCAATTTTTTCAGCTCGGAGCTTGAGAAGCCGATGCATGTGTAACAACGACTGAAATGCTTCACAGGGATGCTTGTTGTGGGACTGTCTGATACCAGCGGACTCTGGAATCCGCATAAAATCGTAGTATCCCGCATGTTTTCGTGATTCAAGATATTTTTGATCAATCCGTTCGGCAAACACTCTGAATTGTCTAAAAGAATCAGCGTATGTTTTCCATATATGGAGCAAAACTCGTATAAACATGTTTTCAATTTTCCAAACGAAATGAGTAATCGGTCTTTTTCCATTTGCCAACTAAAAGAGCGTGGATTTAAAAACAACACGAACTCGAAATCAGAATATTCGCTTTGATCAATTGCTGATTTTAAGAGCGCCGTTGACATTCCACATCCTCTTTCGCCGACTAAGAGGACTTTCTCGCCGCGATTCGGCTGATCGATCGAAGTAAGGATGTCGTTTACTGACAAGTTCTCATCGTTCCATCTGGACTCAAAGGCACTGTCATCGCCCAAATCGAATTCCTGTAAATTGATCTCACAGTATGCTCCTCCAAGTCCAGACTTCTGTCCATGTTTGTTTGTGACAGGTGGGTGGAACGGAGAAAATTGGAAAGTTTTCGATTTATGCAGCAGTTCTCTTGCGATGAATTGTTTCAAGTAATGTACCTCTTTGTCATCTAATCAAAAATGGATAAATGCAATAGCTGCCAACTAAAAAAATAACTGACAAAAAAAAATAACTGACAAATGAGCTTTGTGATTACTTTAGCAATCAATGGTTATCGGTTATTAGTCCGACCATGGAAAATGGGGAGAAACTTCGTATTCCGGTGTTTAAAACTTTTTCTTTTTTTTTCAACATTTTTTTCCACGCAAAATCAGGTACCACAAATAATCATTTGACAAAATCGAGTGACATATCATCTTGAGCCTTTTTAGACATGATACGAATGGCATCGAAAATTTCAAAATTTTTATTTTTCTCAGTGTCGGAAGAAACCAACTTGAAGTTTTTGATTTCTTAGTCTAATTTCGGGCGAATAAAGCAAGCCAGCAGGCGTATAGTTGGTTTTTATAGAAAAAAAGTTAAACTATTTAAGCGTTGAATACTTAAATTTGCTTTAGTCAAATTAGTTTTTGAAGTTTTTGAAAATAAAAAAATCTGCAAAAAAAAACATTTTTTTTTAGTTTAACAAAATTGTCAACAATTTTTTCAAGTTTTTTTTTGTTTTTTTTTAACCAAAATTGTTAACCATCATGTTCATTTTTTAAAGAGAGTTGGATATGCTTAAGTTTTAGGATTCGTTCAAAGTTTTTTTTTCAAACCACGCCCAAAAAAACGACAGCCAAATGAGAAAAAAATATATGTAATTTTTCAAGAATATGTTCAGAACATTCTGTGCCATTTGCAGTTCAACAGTTAAAATTGAAAAGGCTTGATGCTCCTTTTTGCTAAAATTATTAATCATATTCATACCACTGGTGATTCAAAAAGACACGCTATACTTTGTAGAGAAAAAGAAAAATGTAAATAGAAAAAAGAAGACTTTGCCCATTTATCCAAATAACTTCCATTCTTTCCGTGTTTTCTCAAAATTTTTAATTGTAAAATAATCCATTCAATAAAACTTTCTATTCTTAATTGCCTATTTGTCAAATTCAATAACGCGAAAGAGTCATTTTGAAAAAAAAACTAAAAATGTTTTTTTTTCCAAAAATTTTCAAGTCCGCAACTCTCCACGCAAAAATTCAAGCAAAAACATAATCATTTTGAAAAAATTTGATACAAATTATAAATTGAGAGTGTACTGAAAATTGGCTATCTAACTTTTTCAAAAACTGTTTCGAAACTTTTCAAACAACAATTGTGTCAATTCGACCGCATTAAAGCGTTATGGTCATCAAAAACAAAGATTTTTTTTACAGATGAAACGATGCTTAATCTACTGTTTCTACGTATGAAAATTGCAAGCTCAGCTTTTTTCTACGTTTTTAGAAGCTTTTAAATCAATTAAACATGGTGTGTTGTTGGTTGAGATTTTTTTAGTTGTCTAAAAAATGTTTAATTTTATGTTTTGCGATAAGCTTTGTGTGATAATTGCTTTTCCTAAAACAGAAAAATATCCAGAGACAAAATGAAGGCTAAAAATTGTTTTTTTTTATGGTTTCGAATCCATTTTGTTTCTCGCAAATCAATTTTCAGAAACAAAAATTACAAAATGCTTATAACGTATTCCAGATTCAATTTTTTTAACAAAAAATAATCAATAGTAATATTTATGTACAACCGTAATTAACAATTGCATTGCAAAAAGACCCCAAAATAATCCGACCATGATCGTAAAAAAATACACAAAATTCTCAAATTAAGCAAAATTTGTAGAGATTAGTAGTCTCTTGAGAGTGTGCATAGACATTTGTGTCCAAGACATTTGTGTCCTTGACAAAACAGTCGGAAATGATAAAATTGTACCAGACATTTATGTCCCAGACAAAATTGTCCGAAATTGTTTTGCGAAATTAATTTCTTTGATTTGACCTTGTGATCTTTAATGCTTTGTTCTTTTGAGGTTGTTTGATCGTTCTTTAAGTAGATTTTATGCGTAACAATTAACCATAGTACAGTCAAAGTGAGACAAAACTTTCAAGAAAATTTTGAAATTTAAAAGCGCATTTGGCCGAGTGATGAAGTCATAAGTCTCAAGGTCAAAAGGTTTGAAGTTCAAATCTCGGGCTCGACAAAAAATTTTCGTAATTTAGTCAATATTTGAAATTAAAAAACCCAAAAATGGGTAAACTAGGGCAAAATTGAAATGGGTTGACTTGATTGAGCCAAAAGGGAACAGGATGGGAAAAACTTGATTACATTGATCATTTTGTCGTTTTCAAATCGGGTCTAGCTCAATTTTGAAATTTTCTGGGAAAAAGCTCAACTTAGAAAAATTTATTGAAAATTATTGCTTCGCAATATCAACTTTGGAAAATAAATTGACTTTAAATTATAGTTTGATGTTGCTGCTGCACCCTTTTAGGAAAATCAGAAGTTTACTTGGGTCGTAGGCCGCAACTAAGTCCGGTCATTAACTAGTGTGGCAATAGCCTGGACAATTTTGGGACAATTTTGTCTGGGAACCAAACGTCTTGGACACTTTTTGCATTTTGGACTGTTTTTGCCGGGACATAAATGTCTGGGGAAAAAAATAATAAAATAGAAAAGCCTAAAAAATCAATAATTGTATAACGAACATTACTCGATTGCTTTAATTAGTCTAAAGCCCGTCTGAAACTGGTTTAATTAATGTTAAAAATTCCAATGGGTTTTTCGCCACTCTGTGACAACCAATTGGAAATCTTTCAAGACCGTTCAAAATACGACTGAAAAGGCTTCAATATGATATTTTCCTCAACCCAATTCCACTCTGATGATTATTTATGGTAATTGCTTGAAAAAAAATTCACTCTAATACAAAATTTTTCCCATTTTCAATGATCGGAACAATCAATTATTGCTTTGATATGTTAAGATAATTTTAAAATTGGGAAAAATAGCAAATATATTTTTTTAGAATGGAAACGTTCATGATATATGCAATCTATGTGAAACTCAATAATTATTTCGCGTTTCTCCAAATGCAATTGATCTGCGAGATTCTAGCCAGATAACTTGTGGGACCTCTGGTATGAGAAAACTCTTCATTTTTTTGTTTTCAGATAACAAAATATAAAGCTGATCTCAGTATTTAAAACAAAGCATATTTCATGAAAAAATGTTTAATGCACAATCAATTGCAGTGGATGAACAAAGTTGATAAAACAGTTACATGGTACGGAAAAATGCTTTTTGTTCCATTTTCAAACAATTCTTTTTTATGAAATTGTATGATGAACTTCTCTTTCAATCTTGGAACTCCTTTTAAAAGGCTTAAACTAAATTGAAACTTCAAGAAAATCCTTTTTTAATGAAAAATAAAGAGGCACATGATGGTCAAAAATTGAGTTTACAAAATATACCTCTGAGCCAAACATACATTCATTCGACAGTCATTGAATTGAAATTCAAATGATTACACGGAAGAAATGAGTTGCACTTCGCTAACACTTAAAACGGCAAAAAAAGAACTTTCAAAGTTCAAAAATAATGGCAAAAACAATTTCCTCCCATACTTGTTTTTTGTCTTTTTTGATTTTAAACCTCTTTTTTGCTGTTTATTTTGGAAAAAAATTCAAAACAAAGATAATGGCTGTCTTCAGGATTCGAACCACTAACAGCTAGTCTATGTTTCATAAGCTTTCTCCGCTCTGCTTTGCTCACTTATGCAGTTAACTCATTATTTAATAGAAATCTTAGGCTGCAACGAATGCCTTCTTGGTAAAACGGATAATACAGTGGCTATTAAATCATTCGCCAATGAACATCAACACAAAAATGTGCAACTAGAGTTGTTCAAATCTTGAACTCGTAATATAGCACATACATTTACTGGTTCAAGAAATCAAGATATCAAAAGATTCACTGATTCTGTTAGGGAAGTTATTTCACGGGGAAAAGTATATGGTCCACTTTGTTATTGCCATGAAAATTTGGCCATTAGACCGCCAAATTCATTCTTAATTCATTATGAAAAAGACGATACCTCTGGTACCAAAAAAGTAGTAACAGTGTCTTTTCTTATCAAATTGATGTTTTACAGACAGAAATACATGAACCGCTAACTTACCGATGATAGAGTTGATGTGGCACTCGTCTCCCAGCTTCTCCGTTTTACTGTGACTCGCTCCACTGTTCTGAGATGAAGTACCTTGAACAATACTATGTTTAACTTCGGCAGGTTTTCAAAACAAGAGGAAAAAAATATTTCATTTTGCGTGCTCATCTTTCTTGATGGATTTTGTTTGAATTTTAGGTCAAACTTTGGGTCATACTTTAGAGAAAAAATTGTTAAAAAATGGATGGGCTTTTATTGATTTTTTTCTCGACTTCTACAAGTCGACCGAGCCAGTTTTCTGAAAACTCAAAATCCATCTTCAGCCAAAATCTGGAGAATTGTAAATAAATTTTTGGAGAAACCATTCAAACAGACGTCTTTACAATATTTTGAACAAGACACTACTTTCCTTCAAATATAGGTAGCTAAAATAAGTTTCCTTCAAACTTGTAAAGTAGCTAAAATGGAAGTCACTAAATGTCACCAATAAGGTAGAAAACCTACTCACGGTCAACCCTCTGAGGGAATTGACCGCGAGTACGCTACTGCCCTTTTTGACGTGAAAAATTATAAAAATGTGGATTGAAAACAACTCTCAAACTCACCAGATAGTTTGCGCTTCCTCTGTGACATTTTTCTATTTATACCATTCAGCAGACTTCACGGAAGGGAAAAGCAAACGAAAAAGATGTAACTGAAGAAACTGAATATAAATTTGTCGCGATGGTCGCTATTTCTTCTTTTCCACAGGCATAAAATATGTACAATGGAGACTTATGCAGTTACGTCACACTCTAATTTGTAAGGAAAAAAAGAGAAACACAGGAAGCACATGAGAAAACGTGGAATAAAATAGACGGGTGGGCTGTATTGTCTTGTCTTAGTATTTGCCAGAATATCGCCTGAAGTATCGAGTAGCTTGAGTAAAAAACATCAGCAGACCATGGTTAGGAAATTGCAGTCATTCAGATGATAGTAAGTTCTGAATGGCTCTTGTCTCTGAATGGAAATTATAACTATACGCTCATTCTTTATCCCGGAAAAGGATGGAATAAAATCAGGTGTGGCACTAAATACCCATTTCTTAATTGTATTCCTTTTTCTAAAGCTTGTGCGCCTTTAAGGCCGAGTGTGTTGCACTGAGGAACTTTATATCTTGTGTTTGTTCTATGTTAGCCGGTTTAAAAAGTGTATCAAAAAAGTATCAAAGCAATTACATTTCTTCAGAGGTGTTGGTGCTCAAGTCTAATAGATAGCAATTGATCTCAATCATAAAAGATTGATCAAAAAGAATACCAAGTTTTTTGATCCAGATATAACCAAAGAAAGTCAATCAATTTCAAGAGGTGAATCAGGGGGGATCAGGATGACAGCTATGAGAACATTATGTTAAAATGAGCGCATTCACCACATGAAACTTTGTTTGTTGCGCAAAATATGTGAGGGAAAAAGGTTTACTGTATGTAGCATGTAAGAGTTCGAGGAAAAAACTTCAAACTTGTTATATGATTTCAATAATTATGTTTGCCTTTTTTAGACTTTTTTCAATTTGAAAACTTGTTAAACAGAAACAAAAAATCAGTCGGTAACTTTCTTACTCAGGTTGTTTTTTTTTCAGTCGAGTTTCGGCACTTGTTTTAAGCGTTTTCTACATTTCTATATCACCTGGAAGATATCGTAGCCATGAGCTCAAATAAAAAAAATCGATCACAAGTTGATTTTTTAATAGTTTTTGTAAATTTATGGTGGCTTGGAAATAGCCAATAAGGAAAAACTTACGCTATAGAGTTTCTTTTTTAAAATGAACCCTTTCACCGCCTAAAATTTTGCCTGTTGCTCTAAAGATGTAAATATGTGATCAAAAATAGTGAGTGTAGCATGTAAAAGTTCGTGGAAATGATTTTAAGTTACTTATATTAAGCTTAACATTCAGTTCCAATAAAAAAACACAAGTTGTGATCAGTTTGAAAATTGCTATTTTCAAAAAAAGATAGCCGGTTACTGTGCAAGTAGACAGAATGTTCCGTCCATTGCCAAAAAATACAAAAAAAAATAACTTCTTGCAAATTATGCTTAATTCGTTTCTTTCTGCGTAGTGTGATTAAAAGATCTGAACAAAAACTGAAATTTAGGAATAAATGATAGTAATACTAAAATAGTCAAAAATTGCACAAAAATATCACTAAAAAACTCAATTTTTTTTGCAGAAGTTTTTTGATTTTTGAAGTTTTTAATATTCAAATGGCGCTAAATAAACTCCAAAAACAAATTTAATTCAGCAAAACTAAGTTTTCACGACCTGAATTAAGCAAAATTAAGCTATTATAAGCCTGCTCGCTCTAATTTTGACTAAAAATCAACATTTTTAACCCTGTTTTTCTCGATACTGTTACAACTTTTTGGAGTTTTTTTAAATAACGTTCGAATATGACTGGAAGAGTTTTAATATGATATATTTCTTGACCCATTCCCATAACTATTTGTGGTACTTGATTTTGCGTGGAAGCCAAAAAGAAAAAGAAAAAGAAAGAACGAGAAACAAGGATAGCCGGTTACTGTGCAAGAAGCACAGAATGTTTCGACCAGACTTAAACAATTACTTGAATTTTTTTTTAAATTAGTGTAATTTTGTCTCTCGTGTGTGATAAAGGAATCTGAGCAGTGCAGTAGAGCTCAAGCATTTTTGTCAGTGATTGTATATTATGCAAATTGGAAAACAATTTTTCGAGACAAATAACAAGAAAAATTTTTTTTTTTTAATTAAACTTTTTTTCATTGATTCCCAATTTTTGAAGTTTTTGATTCTTATGATGAAGCTTAAAGCTCCAAAAACTAACTTCATTTGATTAAAACTAAACTCAACTGCGGAAAAATAAAAAACTTGAACGAACTCGAATGAACGACTGAAAGGGCTCTAATATGATATATCTCTCAACCCAGTCCGATGATTTTTTGTGGTAATTGATTTTGCGTCGAAAACATAAAAAAAACAAAAACACACCCAAATACTACGTTCCTTCCCATTTTTCAAATTGTCGGAACAATAACAAACGTGCGATGCTATCGTTTTCAAACTATCGTTTTCAAAATATGAACCAATCTTGAGTTATTCTAAATTGAATTGAGGCTAGCAATTTGGTCTTATTACTCGTATATGAGACCTTGAATTAATCCTTTTGCATTTTGAATTTTTACACATGGCACGTGGAGGGGAATAAAAAGTTCGACGAAATTTACGTTTTTTAGAAGCAGTTGTGTTTTCATTTCGAGCGGGTTGTGTTTTTTTTAATTCAGTTCCAATGAATGACCATTTTGGCGCATTTAGCTAAGAATTAAAACCCGTGCTTGAGAGCAAAGGCCTAGGGTTCATTTGAACAGTTGTCATTGTGTTTTCAATTCAATTCCAATAAATATAAATAACTGTTTTTGCGCATTTAGCAAATAATTAACGCCCATGCTTGAGAACACAGACCTGGGGGTCGAGTCCAGTCTAGACCAACTTTTTTTTCACTTTCTGATGTTTTTCAGCTTTTCAACTTTTCTATTCTCAAACTATCGAACGACTGCTCGTTCTTCCGCTTAGTTCTCGCAGAAAGCATTTTTTGACGGTGAGCTATTTCGAATTTTCAAAACGCATCTAATGTTTGTAAGGTACAGGTGTCAGAGTTCCACTATTTTGTAAATGTACAATTTCAGTTTTTTGCTTTAAATTTTTTTCCGCTGAAATGATTTCGGCGTTTGTTATTTCGATAAGGGTATACAACTCCGATTTTTAAACGCTCAATTATTTTATGACCACTTTTTTCGAGGCTTTTCAATTGCTCTTAACTCAGTGCTCGTTTCGGTTAGTTGCCATGCTACGTTTTGTTGCATTGCAAAAGATCCATTGCTCCTTTTCGCCTGTGTAATATTCTGACTTTTGCAAGCCTTTAAACATTTAGAAATTTTGAAAAATTAAAGCTGAAAAACTAAAGCAGCGAAAAATCTGAGGTGGTTTTTAAACAAAATTCAAGAAACTGAAATCCCACCACATTTAATGATGACCGTGCACTCAGTTCAGTAGAAAGCAACTAAGCCAAGAACGACTCATGTTGAAAACCCCAAAACCCATTATGGAAAAAAAAATTACCCAAACACAATCACAAGTACGTAGCGCCAGAATTGAGTGCAGTTAACTTAGCAGAAGCTTGGATAAAAACAAAAAAAATCTTAATGTATTCCAAATATGTTGCATGAATTTCATACCCAAATTTTGAGCGAATGAGTAAGATGATAAAAGTGAGAACCAAGACAAAAAAATTAAAAAAAGTCTCTAGGCCTCCTGCTCAAACTATAGACCTCCTGCTTAAGTGTCACTAGCTTGACTCAGCAGATATATCTAATGATTATTAGAAGAGCTAATTTGAAGCTGTACGCAATGTGATTAAAAATTGGTCTCGTATTATACCGCAAGTGGCTCTTGAGAAAATTTCAAAAGCCAAGACCGGTGATTCTCTCGAAAAAAAATATTGGACAACTGAATGGACTCTATACGATAGCAGACTTGGTCCCCTATAAACGTCTTTGGCTCAAGCAAATCGGGTGGCAAACCAATACAAACTCGGAATGATGGCAGCCCACAAAGCTCATTCAACCCTCTCGAATGACGAGTTCTGAGAATTCAAGGGCCAGAAAAAGTAGAGCTAAATTGTATTCGGTTTAGTTTTCAATCAAGCTTCATAAAAATCGGTTTCATTCAAACTAATCCAAAAAGATTTCAATTGCAATTTCTACACTTCGGAAATGTTTTTTTTTGCTAGAAGAAAGCAAAAATTTATATTTTGAAATTTATTGCAAAAATTACTCTATGAAGCTAAATTAAAATGGTCAGTTTGTGGTTTAAAAATTTTACAGTCCATTTAGTATGGTGATTTTTTGTTTTATTGGGTCAATACTTGACTTTGTTCCGTCTTTAGGTTCAGTTGACTCAAAATCTTCATCTTCCGTTCCGTTTTGCCAACTTGATCTGAGGGTTCCTGGAAGCGCAACGTCTTTTGGATTCTCTTTCTCGATTGTTTTCCAAGGTCAAACTCAGTTGCCGATCTTTCTAATGCTGTCATCTGCACTAAATTGAGATTATCACGACGGTCTTTACTGGGTAAATGATCGCGTGTTTTCGTATCAATTAGCTGAGAGTAATAGCTGAGTAATTCCGTTGATATTTGCAGAGGTCTGTTCTTCTGAAACGTTACAAAGATCATGAAGCACAGCCAGAATGAAATTATTGGTCAGTTTTGTGGTAGCCTCGGGGTTTTCAATAATGGCCATACGGCCATTTTTTTTTGAAGACACGTTCACGCGTCATTATTGGGATATTGGAAAGAGTGCGTGCAGAAAAACGCGCTTTTTCGGTCGAAACAAAACAAAAAATTCCAAAAATTGGGTTTATAAAATACTAAGCGCCCTCGAGGAGAGCTCAAGAAAATCACATGTAAGCGCGGATCTAGGATTTTTCAAGTTGGGATTTTTGACCATCTAAAACAATTTTTTTGAAGGAAAAAGGCCATAAACGCACGCTCACCTCTCAACATTGTTTATATTGGCACAAGAAGCGCCAAAAAATTAGAATCCGTCAGCCAAAACAGATATCTTGCAGTAGTACCAAAGTGGGGGTCCCTTTAGGTAGTGACAGGGTCAAACTCCTGAGGTCTTAGAAAGTCTTGAAAGTCTTAGTTCTGCCAATGGGTGCGACTAGAAATATTATTCAAAAGAATTAGGTAAAAAAAGGTGCGCCAAACTAAAAGGCAATTTAGGGCGCCAAATTGGGCTTTCAGCAGTGCGTTTTCAGCCAAAAACATTATGTATTGGAGGTCATTTGCCAAAGAAGTATTTTTATGGAGCACAGCGTATGATTGGTCGCACTGTCTTCCTTCATTTTAGAAAACTTCCTTGGAGCCCAAGGTACCCTTTTAGTCATTTTAAGTCAAACCGGTCTAAAAAACGTCGTCAGCTAGCTCAAAAGGGGATGCTACGGGAAGTCAGTTAATAGACGCAATAAATGAGAATCCAACAGCGCCTTAATCAACTCACTAGTGGGGAGTATGAAAAGTAGTTAAGACGGTTAGGTAAAATAAATCGACTAACAGGCATTTTAGATGGAAAACTATGCGAAGTTTTTGCTCTCCGCGCAGAAATCGGTACAAAATATTTGTTGTTATCATTTTGTCCCTCGGCCGAATTTGACTTCTGAGATTCTTGGCTGTGGAGCGGAATGCGGCTGCTTCTTAGCCAATCTGAATGCTGCAGATATTCGACTTTATCAAATCTTGACTCGGTTTTCCATTGCTGTGTCGGTCCTGGTAAAGATACATTTCTGTGAGAGTTCAAATCTGAGTGCAGCTCAAAGGGCGATTTCATATTGCCCATTTTGTCTGTCGTCTTATCACTGAACGGAAGATCATAAGGATGGCTCACTAAAACAAGCTTCTGGCTCACCAGCTTCGTGTACATCCGAGAATATTTCGAGTCGAAGTAAAGCTTCGGAGTTTGGACATGTCTGGAGAAACTGAAAGATGGGGCAGTTTTTGGCTGGACGTGAGAAAACGATTTGCTCCTTGAAATTGCAGTGACGTGACTCTCGTTTAACCACTGCGGTCTGAACATATCTTGACTGGTCATCGTTCCAGTTGAATGCTGATGAAACTGTTGGCTTAAATTAGAAGTCAAAAAATAGTTACTATCGTCGATATTCTCACATCTAAGCGTGATTGAGTACGGTTCAGACCTCGTTGAGTTAATTGAAATATCGCCTTTGAGCGCTGAAAAGTTAGTGAGAGAACTCTTAAACAGTTTCTGGTTTGATCTCGGCCTTTTGTTCGGACTTGTCTCTGCATGTAAATCGCCAAATGGCGATGACAAAACTTTGCGGCCATCGGGTATGGCAACTTGAGGCAACCAATCTTCGTTCAAAACGTCCATGGTTGGGTGAGCCAAACTAATATTCATCCGGATAATTTGGATTCCGTCTGAATAACTGCGAGCATTTTATGTTCAGTCAGACGAATTTTATGAGCAAAAAAAACAGCCAGACCGCAAGCAAAATTTATCGAGAATGATGATTATATAGTTTAATTGTCACTGTGTAATAAATTCGATGGTCTTGTTTTTCTACAACAAAAACTGATAAGTCAAATCTCATTTTATTAGTCGAGAATGCTCAAATAGCTGCTTTACTACAAAAACTGACTATTTGAACAAACGAATATGCGAGTGTCCGTAACAGTTCGGTCGATGCACCTTAAATTGTAGAGGTTACAGTTTAAATAGCGCCGTCATAAAACGAGAGAGAACTTTGTGACTCAGGAGTCCAACATCAGTCTCCAAAAAGTTTTAGGCAAAGGCTTTTTGTCTTGGCATGTAGTGATAGTTTTCAGCCAATCAGCATTTAGCAATTTACTTGCAGCCCCAAGCAACTTTAATCCAAATCAAATGCTTGGGTGGAAGAGCTTAACTTAGTCTAATCATGGCGAGGTTGTTAATATAATCAGTAATTTGAAAGACAGTCTTCGCTATGGTTGTGAGCTAAGGCTGCGTCACACTAAACCAAGTCTAAAGATAGAAATTTTACAGAATCTGGTCCAACTACACTGCATTAGGTAATAACGAGAAAGCAAAAAAATTGTTGCACAAAAAAACTACCTCGTTTCGGAACGGGAAGATAATTCATACCATTCAACTCCTACACAAGCTTACAGTCTTTACATAATCGCAACGACACAGTAATCTCTCAGAAATTCAAACTAATTTTTCGACAAAACCTTCAAGTAGAGATATGTAAAGCTATCGATTACCTTTATGGATGGTGTTTTTGGTATAAAACCAAATTATGCGATTTTATAAAGAGAAATTAGGCGGGTTTTGTGATGTCAAAATTATTCACAACATTTTTTTTTTCAATCTTTTCTGCTCGTTAGGACATGTTATTTTTGGACTTATTAAATATAAATAGAAACAAGGATAGTCGTCAGCGGTCCAACCACGCTTATCCCAGTAATGAAACCATTTTTTCAAGTTTTTATGTTTGTTTTTAAGAGAAAGAGAGGGCGTCGAATCAATAAGAAAGCAATACAAGACTGCTCGCATCAGGGCAAAACCTTGAATGTTCCAACTGCCCATTAATTAGTTTCAAATAATTTTGCTAAATGAACTATTGACACACTATGAATTTTCGTCTGATAATATCAAAGTGAAAAGTTTTGAGTCGTTTAAGGAATTAAAAAGACCAATTAGCTTGCCTCAATTTAATTTGGAATGATTGTCAGTGCGGATAATTTGCCACGCATAAATTATTCGCGTATTGAAACAAGCTATCAAAGTATTATTAGAGCAGCCAAGCCGCACTTTAGTCTAGTGCAAGCATACTCGCTTGGCAATACCAAGATTTCCAGATCAATGACCATACGCAGTCAACTATTTTAAAATTGGTCTGAATAAAAAAAAGCACCCCGGGCATATATATTCCCAACTTTCTTCCAAAGTCAGAACAAGTTCAAAGTGATATTATTTTGCATATAGAAAAGTATTAAATAGACCAAAAAGCATGCATCAATCCAATTTGGAACAAATTCTCATACGAATTAAATCTCCGCTTAAAAGCACGCTTTAATAGCACGAAATATAACGCGCGTTTATTGTCCGAAATTGGCCAATTTGGCAATCTTCAAACCCCCATAACTTTACTAAAAATGATCACAGGTAAAAAAAAAAGGTCACAGAAAAGAAATATAGAAAAAATACTTTAGAAAATCAGAAAATCAGAAAGGAAACCTTGAATTAGAAAATCAGTCTCAGTTGAGAAAAATACTCCGTGCAATACCACTGAAAAACTTGAACAATTTATAAATTTAGTAGTTTTTCTCGACAATGAAACATCTTTTCTGGAAAACTTTTAAAAGATCTAAGATGCAACTGAAAGAACTTTTGTTTAATCTGATAATAGAATTAAAACCCTGCTAAAACGTTTTGAACCTACCTAAAATTGGTTTAAAAAGCATCCTTCGGCGGCCTAGCTTCGTCCCGCTCTTCAAGAGTGATCGGAACAACATCAATACTTCAGAACTTATTCTTTTTTTTCGGCCTAAATCGTAGACACTGTGTGAAATTGTCCCATTTGACGGCACACTCAAAACGAGGGAGATCAATTACAAAAAAAACTCAGACAAAAGTTTGATTAAAATAATTGAGAAGTATATAAGCGACTGAATTGTTACCAATAATCGAAAAATTTCAAAAATTTGCCTTTTTCATCTCCCACGGCATGCGATGTCTGAGGCAATATATTTTGTTTCAGGTAACGTATTATCGAGACCACGAAGACTGCTCGAATGGCAGGACGGCGAAGTATTAAATAATCTGACTGAACTTAAAAGCCAATTTACCTTTTTTTCAAAAATTTTCGCTCACTAAAAAATGTAAACTACACAGAGATGTACTTAAGCGTCTTGTAGCTTAACAACACGACCAATTGAATTGCCTCAACTCAATTTAGAACACATTAATCTGCCGCCTTCTTGTGTTTTAATAAAGCCACATGTCGCGCGTTTTTATTTGAGCCCAAGACAACAATGTCGTTAGATTATATAAAATTTTTTTGACGAAGTGCTTAGTAAAAAAGTCAAAAAATGACTGATTGATAAAAACCACTCCAAGTAAAAAACATTCCGCACTGTTTTTAAAAGTCGAAAGAATAAGCTTGTAGCTTTTTGAATACGATATGGAATGATTTCTGACGGAGTAAGATTTATTCAACGCTTAAGCGTTGAAAAAGCATTATATCCCGTGTTAACTATCCCAAATTTGCTATTTTCAAACAAATACCTACAAATGAAACAAAACTGCTCGTATCAGGGCAAAGCTCTGAATGTTCCAAGTGCCTTTTAACGTTTATTGTGCAGCAGTAATACATAAAAAAAAAACAAATGAAATAGAATAAATTGAAATTTTTTTTCTACAATTTGAAATTTTTTTATGAAAATCATCTCCCCACACGCCATATAAAGAACAAAAAGATAGATTTTGTTCCATGTGACAAATCAATTATGGCAAATAAGCTTCGTTCAACCAACTTGGAACGATTTATAAGACGGATTAAATCTCGTTTACGCGTTAATAGCGCGAATTATAATGCGCGTTAATTGTCCCAAATTGGTCAAAATAGCCAAAATGGCAATCTTTAAACCCTCATAACTTTACGAGAAGTGATCACAGGTGAAATATCTTTTCAAATTCAAGCTCAGGACAACAATACTTTTTGAATGATATGAAAAAATTCCGTCAAAAATGGCTAATTAAAAAGTCGAAGTTTGTCTGAAGAAAAAAAAAACCCACCCCGAGCACAAATATTCCGTTACTTTCGTATCGAAAGTCGGAACAAAAAATTTTAATCAATCTATATGAGGCTTTAAGCAGAAAGAATAAAATGGTTTAAAAATTACAATAAGAATGAACAAAGAAATGTTTTTTTTTTTCAAAAAAAAATCAGGAAATTGTCGATTTTTTTGTTATTAACATCGAGCAAAATCATTTTTCACGCTCTCTTAAAAGATAAACAAAAACATTAGTTTATAAAAAAATTTTGTGCCGCAGCAGGCATTTTGCTGATGTTCAAAATGCCATTTTTGGTCACTTTTTGGAAATGCTTGACCAGAAATGGCTAATTTATTGGCGCGCAATCACCTTCTCGAAATGAGTTTTTAATGACGCCTGAAGAAAAAATTTAATTGTGGTCACCTGGAAATAAATGTCGTAAAATAGCACCAAAGGAGTCCCCTTGAGTGTCGAGGGGGTCTATGAAGAGCAGGTGGCATCCGCTACGCGCCCCTTCTAAATCCGCATCTTATCCAGTGGTTTCGACATCAACCTAATTTCAAAACCTAATTTCTTACAATCATTTTATCTTCGGAAGAAAAAATCAATTAAGCGCCAATAGTTATCAATTTACAAAATGAAAAATGAAAAAAATAGGGTGGAAAAACTTCGGCAGAACCTCTTTCAGCAAAAAGAACATAAGATGCTTAAAAAAGAAAACCCAATTTTTGCGAAAATTTGCTTAGAAAAATAATTTCAAAAGAAAATAACGATTTGAGTTTAGAAATTTGGAGCTATAAACAATGGCTCTAACTATATTTTCTGTTTATTTATATCAAAACATCACATTTGACTTAGAGGTAGAGCGGAGCCTTGGAACATTTGCGAAAAATCACACACATAGCATTGCAAACTAGCGGATGGAAAAGATACGAAGCCACTTAGGTAACAAAAATGTCTGAGGTTTAATTTCAGGAAATCATATTGAAAACATTATACTCATCATTAAATTAGCAATGAGACAAAATGCACCTAATGGTACTCAGCGCAAAAAACTTGCTGTTTGAGTTAAAAGCTAGAAATTTGGCACAATTTTTACTTTTAAAGATCTAAGTTTTTTTTCGGCAACCGAAGCAGAAAAACGCCATAAACATTATTTTTGATCGCAAAAAGACCTGTTATGAGGCAACTAGGCAGGTATAACATTCACCGAAACCATTGAAGCCAACAAAGTTTTACAGAAAAAGAGATGTTTCCCAAATTTGTTTGTTATCTTTCTAATATTATATACGTCAATTTAAGACAAACATTTCCAGGACTTGAAACAAATTCCATGCGTATGAAAATATTCCGCCTAAAGGTATGCAAACAACCGCTAGTCTGACGATATAAGTTTCACCAGAGAAAAGCCAATAGAAATCAAAAAAAGACAAGGTGGGGCCGGAACACAAACCCCATAATTTGAAATCTTAAAACAAGTACGTTACCACTAAACTAAACAAGTTTCGCTTGAAAATTACCAATGTTTTTTTTATATTAAGGTTAAATTCTCATCGAATTATACGGAAAAATATATTTGTCTTCGTTCACAAGTAAAGTTGTACCAACCAACGGCTTTGTTCCGTTTCGCCCTTTTAAATTCATTTTGACTCAGAGGTAAAACGGAGCCAATATACAACATAATATTAGCAGTGCAAGCTATCAGACAGAAAAAAAGAGCCGCTAAACCCAAAAAAAAAGAAAAAAAAAACACTTCAAAAACCACAAATTAAAAAAAAAAATCAAAATGTTGCCTGGAATCTTGTTCTATTTGCGGAAAACACAAACTCAAACGATGGCAAGTTTTGAAAAAACCAAAAAAAATATATTTAATATGCGACAACTGAGACGACAAAATTTATATAACGTCCCTTAGAAACGAAAATACAATTGTTGTCATGAAAAATTTTGAACTATAAAATCTATTATAAGAGTTTTAGCATTTTGCGCGATCCATGATGAAGCATAAAATTTACGTTTTCTCTGAATTGTCCTCAATTTAGATCACTAAGACGCTAAATTATAAATCGAAATCATTTGAGCCGAACAAAGCTTAGAAGCGAAAGAGAAAAAACAAAAACAGCGAAATATACGAATTCAAGACTTGTAAAATTAAACGTTGCAAAGTAATTCGAAACAGAGAAAGCAACTCGACTAAAAAATACGTACAAAAAAATCAATTTTACAATAAGGAAACTAGACCGACAAAACATAGGCAGACAAACTATAGGCAAAACTTTGTTGGGAAGGAATACTTTCAGTTTGAAGAAAAAACAGTTCCTGGTGACAATCTTTGCCGCCCCTGTCGTCTTCACCTCCAGGCTGTGCTGGACCAAAAAACCCCTGAGATCTTTTCTTATAAAACACGTTTTTCCATAAAAAAAAATGTTTAGAAAAAAGTAAAAAGTCGAAAGGAAAAAGTCGGAAGGATAAAATCAGGTCAGGTGACTAGAAAACATTTGGGTAACAATTACTGGCTACAAATTTCCATTTCTAAGATAACTGCCAAAATGTACACTGGATAGCCAAAAAATACAAGAAAATACAAGAAACCAAAAATAAAACAGACGAATATAAAAAGTATAAGAATATATAAGAAATATTTATAGTAAACGTAACGTTGTTATTATCCTTTTGAAAAGAATTAATTTATACTTCAGAATCAAAATTGGATTGCAATATATACAAAACTTTATTTTGACATTGGTAATTGTTGCAAAGAAAGTAATTAAAAAGATTGTTTTTAAACTGAGCTGTTGTTGCAGTTCAAAACAAGGAAAACTATATTTTGAAAGTAGTATCTTGAATGCTTTTTGTTAAAATTTATTAAAAAAAACTTTTAAAATTTGATTAGAAATCTTCACTTTTACTCCATTTTTGGCACGTCCAAAAAACGAAGTAGCTTTAAAAAGACAAAAAAAGTAGAATAACCAACTGGTAGCTAATGAAACAGACAACTTTGCTTTTAAACTGCCAATACTATCCTCAGCAAAAGTGCAGCCGAAAGTGACACTGTTTCTTGCGGGTTCGATTTGAAAAGAAGAAAGAAGTCGTGCGGTATTTCAATCTGTTATCCAAAAGCCTGTGATGCCTTTTTTCAGCAATATTTTTTTCATGATAGTAAAACATAGCCAACAAAACTTTTAAAATATGACAGAAGCAAATCTTTGCCGCCCCAGTCGTCTTCACCTCCAGGCTATGTGCTGGACCAAAAAACCCTTTTCTTATAAAACACGTTTTTCCATGAAAAAAAATGTTTAGGAAAAATTAAAAAGTCGAAAGGAAAAAGTCGGAAGGATAAAATCAGGTCAGGTGACTAAAAAACATTTGTTAAACAATTACTGGTTACAAATTTCCATTTCTAAGATACCTGCCAAAATGTACACTGGATAGCCAAAAATACAAGAAACTACAAGGAACCAAAAAAAAGGAAGACGAATATAAGAAGTATAAGAATATATAAGAAATATTTTTATTAAACGTATTTTTGTAATTATCTTTTTGAAAAGATTTAATTTATTCTACAGAATCAAGTTTGGATTGCAATATATACAAAACTTTGTTTTGACATTCATAATTGTTGCAATGAAAGTAATTTAAAAGATTGTTTTTAAATTGAGCAGATGTTGCAGTTAAAAACAAGGAAAACTATATTTTAAAAGTATTATCTTGAAAGCTTTTTGTTAAATTTTATAAAAAGAAAATTTTTAAACTTGATTAGAAATCTTTAATTATACTCCACTTTGGCACGTCCAAAAAACGAAGTAGATTTAAAAAGACAAAAAAAAACAGTAGAAAAATCAACTGGTAGCTAACGAACCAGACAACCTTGCTTTTAAACTGCCAATACTATCCTCAGCAAAAGTGCCACCGAAAGTAACACTGTTTCTTGCGGGTTCGATTTGAAAAGAAGTCGTGGGGTATTTCAATTTGTTATCCAAAAGCGTGTTATGCCTTTCTTCAGTGATATTTTTTTCAGGATAATAAAACATTGCCAACAAAAGTTTAACAATATGACAGAAGCAAAGCAAAAAATGCAATTGAAATTTTCTTCAAATTGACATAATAGTTTAATAGCATAATAGCTTTGAATTTCAAGAATTGGCTATTTTTATTTGTTTCGCCGGAAATCTTTCCAATCCTTTTTCGAAACAGATTCAATCCCGTTTCGTCTCGTCATTCCCATTTTCGTATTTGGAAAGCTCGACCTTCTGACTTTAGCTATTATATGGGATTGGTTAAGAAGAAATCCAAATCAAACCAAAAAAAATGAGGGTGATTGAATTTTGACAAAATTAAACTAAGATTTTTAATCGAGTAGTTTTTAACTAAAATCATGCACGTTTAATGTGATATTCAAACATTTGCTGCTCAATAACGGAGATTACACAGAGGCGAAGCTTCGCAAACTTTTGCGAGAACACGACAAAAAGCAGCGCTTTAGTGTCAAATTAATCCTCGAGTTAGCTAAAATTCGTCAACCTCCGAGATTCCAACATGCGACCTAGAGATTAAGAGTCTCACACACTAACCACTAAGCCACGGATGCTTACTAGGTATCATTAACGACTCAGTCACAAATAAAGCAGAAAACAGATGCTATGCAATTTCCAATGCTCCAGTGAAATTTCCAAACAAGTGAGCACTTTTAAGGAACAATTTTGATAGCGAGTTAGGTAAGTAAGAAAGAAGGTTCATAATAACAAACTAAGCTGAGCGCAAGTCTGAATAAAAAACACCAAAACAAGAAAATTACTTTAATATTTTACACTTAAAAACGACATTTAAGTGTTTCTACTTCGTTCGCTGTATTTTAAAAGTTGATCTGTTTAAGGGATAAAATATTCGAGAATTTAACTTGAATATGTGACCCTATTACAAAGTTCTACGTTTCACTAGCTTGTTCCAATTTTAGCCGCTAGATTAGACTTTTGCTTGTTCTCTGCAGCTGCTGTTTTATACATGTTTACTATCTTTGAACGTTTTCCAATTTTCAGATTATAGGGATGATGTACATTTTTCGAAAACGTTGTAATTACCTTAGGTTTTCCCTCGCTTATTCTCAAAATTTGCCTATAAAAAGCAGTAAAATGCCTTAATTAGCTACCCAGATCAAAGATAGATACATATTCCAATTGGAAAGAGAACACGATAGAAAAATAAATTTAAAATAAAATTTCAAGTACAATAAGTATGTATATTATATATAGCGGCTTTCATCTGTATCTACACTAGCAACAGAAGTCCAAGTTTCAACTTTTGGCGATTCAATATTTGGGTTTGACTCACTCATTACAAATAGAGATAGAGAGGAGAGCAACACAAGGCATTAAACGCACCAATTAACTCTTCTCTTCAGTTCAAAAATTCAACAATTCTCCGAAAACACCGCTTTTGGAGGATCAAAATAGAGGAACCTTAAATTCGTAAGCAAATTTAGTCGAACCTAAAGTTATTAATCACTAATTCTAACTAATGTCAATTAGTTTATAATTATAATTGAGTTATAATTGCATTGAAAAATTATGAAATCAAAATAAAAGAAATTCTATGAAGCAATGGTAGCAAATAAAAGTCAAAGGTGAACGTATACAAGCAAAGATTTATAAAACAAAAATGTAGCTAACGGATGGATTGAAACTGAACGCAGAACTAAATCATTAAATTACTGTCACAGTAGGTTTTTCTAATTAAAATAAACGACTTGAAAAATGACAGACAATATACACTATTCTGATTGACAGAGTCAATTTCTGATAGCCGTTACAAAACTTTAAGAACTAATTCTCATTATGAAAAACTTCGAAAGATCCATGGTGATAAAATATAAAAATTGGTCATTTTTCGATACGCGGCTTGGTCGCCCAAGTCCATCTAAATTATCCAGATACAAAGGTAAACAGCGACACATGATTGAATGCGAGTTAATAATAACTACACTAATCTAATAATCTTGAATTTGAAACTGAGTTTCATCCAGTGCCATACAGTGAACGGGCATGATGTAATCTGTCGTCGCTCCGCTGTCATTGCTTCCCTGAGACGGATCTGGATCACAAAGAGTCACCCTTCGGTCAATTCTCCTTGGGTGTCACTCATGTCGCTGGACAACGTCACAGCAATGTCTTCAGAATTCTAAGCAATCACTGCTTCTACATTTGCCATACAAGGTTGACATAATAGAACAATCACTCAAAAAGAACATGACTGCAACTTATGAAAGATGATGACATTTCTATGAAGGATGCAGACCATCTGCGCAAGCAAAATTTTTAAGAACATAGCCAATAGACAACTGGAAAAGTGTCATTGCACTCAAGAAACAAGAGAAAAACTATTCACTTTTATGAGAACAAGTCACTTGAAAAAAATACTCCAGCTTAAACCCTTCCATTTTCGAGAATCTTTATGTTCGGCACCTTTTATATATATAATATAATCGAGTATGTTTCGGGTGTTTTAGTTTTTTCTTTTCTTTTCCAGACAAAACCAGGTACCACAAAGAATCATCGGACTGTGTTGAGTGATTCATCATATAAAAGCCTTTTCAGTCGGGATTCAAACTAAATTAAAAAATTTCCAACATTTTTTTTCAAGTGTCGAGAAAAACTGGTTTAAAATTTTTGATTTTTAGTTCAATTTCGAGCGAAAAACGCGATCGATAAAATTCATTGTGGAAATTAACAATTTTTTATAAATAAATTAAAATTCATATAACTTGACTTTACTATCAAGATAACTAGTTTTGGATGTTTCTTTCAGCTCTTATTTGACAATAAATGATAACATTTTATTTGATCTATAAAGACAATCTACAATTTATTTGACAATAATGATAAAAAATTAAAACTATTGTGCAAAAAGTAAGAATTAAAAAAAAATTTCCAATTTTTGTTTCGTATTCAATTTCTGAAAACAAATTTTGTCGATCACGCCTAATTCAATAATTCTCTACGCGATCATATATTTCTCGAATCACACCACCCACTAAAAACTAAAAAAAAACAGGAAAATTAAAAAAAAAGTTATATTTTTAAAGAAAATGCTCGAGACATTCTGTGCTACCTGTACAGCAACCGGCTTCCTTGTTAGAAATTGAATTTGAAATTTAAAAAAAAAACAATCAAAAGTCATTCGAAAAACCAAATTTGAGCGGGAACAACTTTGACACAATTACAATTTCTAAAATTAACTTTTTCGTTCAATGGAGATCGCAGGGCAAAACCTCATACAAACTGCAGGCAATTTCTAGAGATAGAGAGATTATGAGGGTAATGATTGCATTTGAACTTACTAGTGATGGTGATTTCAATAGGTTTCTTGTGGTTATGATGGGACTGATTGACTGTGTCTTTGCTAACTTGGTTCTGATAGATATAAGAGGGGTTCTGCACATGCAAAGATGGCTGCATTGCAGTGTTAGGCACAGGTTGTGATATCGTATGTTGTCTATCATTATTGATACTGTTGACTGTGGTTGGGTGGTCTTGGGTTTGAGACTGGCCTTGATTTTGACCAGAGGTGTTTCTGTGGTGGGGTGCTGAATTCGGCTGGCTGGGCGCGGGTGTCCTACTAGTGTACACTGAGCTAGCTCTCACATTCTGACTGCTCAATAGACTGTTATCTGTTGAAGCAGCTCGCTTCTGACGACCATTCACTCCTGATGAATCTCCTGACATTCCTCTCGGTTCTGACTGTAACATACTGATCTGACCACCATCGAGGGCATGTTGAGAGTTCAAGGCCGCCGTGGCTGCGGAATCCTCAATGGAATGTGATCGAGAGTGTGCGTTGGCCACTAAGAGAGGATACTTGCTATTATTCACGTTCTTGCCCACACTGGGTTGTGTTTGCCCCTGATGTGGTGGGTTCTCCTCTTTGAAATGTTTGGGAGGGGAGTTTGAGGCGTTGAGTAGGTGACGACTGTTGGTAGCTGGATTGCAACTCCTTCTCGAAATGGGAGGCTTGGAGTTGGCTGAGAAATGAAAAGGCACTAAGGAAGACTGCATGTTCGTCGGAGGTCTGCTTCGATTGGACAATAATCCGGTCGACATAATCTGAACAGAAACATTCTATATTAAATCAGTTCAACTAAAATTTCCTTCATCATCAGCCTTGGTGTACTTGAACAATTGTTGCTCAACTGGCTACATATTGGAACATATATAATGGTTCTTCGTGAGCAGTTTGAACTTCGTACTGGCGGCGCAGAAACCGAAAAGTATAGCCAATTAGTATATACCTTTTTTTTATAATTCCCGGCCCAGTTCCCACCTTTCAGCCTTGGACCTTTTATTCCGATGGGGAGAGAGGTGTCGTCCATTTTACTGGAGCCGGTCCCACCAAACATTACCGGAGCGGGATTCGAAAACCGGGATTCGAATATAAAACCGGTTTTCGAACTGTTGAAAAAAAAACGAATTCAAATGGTTTATATAAATAGGCGACATGAGTGTTTCGCTTGAGTGTTTCGATTGAGAAAAAAAACTAATTCAAATGGTTTATATAAATAGGCGACATGAGTGTTTCGCTTCGACTAGCCTTTTCGCTGCTCCTGAGAGGATCTCCCCTGTGGTAGTGATGTACAGCGTTATTTGATGTTGGGATAAAGTAGCCGCCGCCGCTGGGAAGGGGTTTCCTCATAGGTCTCTCTTCCTCTTCATCCTCGTCTGTCTCCTCATCGTCATCTATGTCTTTCATCTTCTCTTCACAGCTGTCCTCTCTCTTTATCGCCCTCCTCGCTCCCCCTCCCACTCCTGCACTTCCAATTCCACCACCTCCACTGATGGAGTCTTGCCACTGAACATCTACAATACAAAACCTTCCCTTGCATTCATTATGAATACCTTTCACAAGTATCACATGCACTGCAATCCTTTGTTTTGTGTTCAATCTAAGTGAACTTTGATTAGTTCAATAACGTCTATCGATAACTTTTCACGCAGTACACCAAACACAGAGCCATGTACCATATGTGATTTAGAAAAATACAAGAAACATGTTCTTATTAACCCGTGCCGCTTTGTTCCGAGCTTGATTCCATGGCAACTAGCAAGTTAGGCTGTGACGCGCTGAGTGCCCTGCTCATCCTTATCAGAGTCCTCTCCCCTTCCCCTTCAGATCTATTCCCATTGTTAACTTTCGTCCGCCTGCTGTTCGACTGGGATGCAGTCTGCCGTTGATCTTCATTATTGTTAGTGTCATTCGTGTCAATGTCTCCATTGATGACACTGCAGTCGCTTCCATTCAGATTGTTGAGGGTCAAAGCAGTCTCTGGCCCTTTGTTGATCGAGTATCCGTTGATGGTGGAGGCTATCGCATTCCACACTCCTGCCGCGCCCCTGGTCGCCCTCGGCACTTGAAGTGGCCTGGCCCACTTAGTGAAGAATGTCCTCCACGTGTTGCGATCCAAATTGGCTTCTTTTCCGAATTGGCACGTGATCTGCAACAAAGAAGGAAAACGGTCACAATTATAGAAACTGTGTGTACATGAAACTGGGTATTTACCACAGACTAAAAAAACAGATGCGTGGAATTGAACTAACGTTACAGCCGTCGAATTTTTCGTCGAACTTGGCCTTGTATATTTTGTCAATATGACTTCTGAGTAGCACCAGTTGTAAGTCTGTCTTAGTGTCCTGTGTCCTTGAGTTACTCTCTATCTGCATCTGCTTGTCTGCCGTGGGCGAAGGCCATTGAGGACCGTAAGGGTGGGTTGATGTGGCAGTTTGACTGCTGCTGCTGCTGTTGTTAGTTTGCACAAGAGTGGGGGAGGAGGGTTTCCTAGAGTCTCCTCTGATTAGACTGAAGTAGCAATAGTCAAATTTGGTCTGTGATGGATTAGTTGTGGTGGGAGCGGAGAAACACAATCGGCTGCTCTCGTTGATGAAGGAGGCATTGAACCAGCTCTCAAATTCTGTTTGATCCTACAGAAATGAGATCATTACCGCCCGAATTAACATGAAGCACTGTAACCTACAATCTGCTCGGACTACCAATGTCGCATTAACATCCGTCATGTCCAATTAGTCCTACTAAATGTTTTTTTTTTCAAAACGTGTGATACGATTTTTCAGTGCTTCAGGTCAAATTTCAACAGCTGTCAGTTTGTCGCTGCGACAACCATTTGATAGCATATCCGTTTATCCTACCTTTCTCCTGAACTTGACGCAGAAATCTTCGTGCAGAAGGAAAACGCCGTTTGTCGTGCTGGCTCTCCATGTGTGCACACAGTTATTACCAACCTGAAGTAAAAAGGAATACTCTACACATACTTCAGAAAGAACCAACAAGAGTATGAAATTAAACTAACTATGAGGGATATCGCAACCGATTTAGCGTAGAAAGGTATCATTCATATCCAATAAAACTTCTAAATTGTTCAAAACTGTGACGACGTTTCATTTAATTAACAAAATTAATATCGACATTCAATTTCGCAAGGAAATAGCTGAGAAGAAGGGTTAATATTTCAGAGAGAATAATTTTTAGATAGTCTAGAAATCCAACTAACTTGTGAGTGTGAGTATGTGAATATGTTCTCGAGTTGGGCTATGACGACCTGGTTGTTGAAGTAGAGACACTGTGTCTGTGCCCACCTGCTGCAGTGGAAGTTGAACGGATTCTCCTGGTGATGTGGCAACTCATGTGGAAGACGGAAGCTCAGCTCCACACTCCAATACGCTACAATAATACAACTATTCACGGCCCTGACAAGTACTCAGCAAAACAAATCATAACCGAAATGCATATCCGTCAAACACAACTGACTTTATTTCTTTTTCTCATTATTCACATGTTAGACCTTACATGCAACACATCCCTAAAACCTTTCGAAATATTAGAAAACGAATATACTTATAAAACGAGCATAATTTTACAAAATGAACATGTTAATTAAACAAAAGCGAAGCGGAGCTTCGCATTAATTACGATAGAAAAATGATGGAAACAGGAAAAGCCAGAAACAATTTACAAAAATCTGATTCAAATTCAATTCGAAAAAATTGAAAAATAACTCAAAAAAGTGAAACAAGCTAAAATGAGGAAAACGTATCGAAATTAAGCCAAAATTATCAGACTGAAAGGATGCAGATCTTACTTCCAATGCGGTCTTTTTTGATTGTCGAAAATTCAAATTACCGGAGGTGCGTTACACGCTAGTATAGCTTAAATCAGTTGCCTGCAAATTAAGCCAGAAAAAAATATCAGGCTGAAGGAAATAGACCAAAAAATGCACCAGATTTGGACCATTTACGATAAAATGTAACAAACTATTCAAACAAAAAAGAGCCCTGAGCCTGCAGTAAAATCAACATAACTCTCTAGAAGCTACGCCTCAGTAATTTCAATTGAAATTTGAAAACATAGCCAACAAGAAGTTGGAAAACATCTAATGAGCGCAAGAAAACGGAAAATAAAGGCTGACTTCTGTTTTGAAAAAACTTCAACTTCGCGTAAAAATTATACGGCTTTAGAGGTGTTTGAATTTAATGAAAACAATATGATTGACACTTTTTTTGCTAACACAAACTCAGATGGAGAAAACTGGATTAATAGATAGCTTTTATTCCGCTGGGAAATCTGATTCCAGTGTCGAAACTAGGATTCGATCACGTTTTTCCTGGCCTTTAAACGTTTTTAGTGGCCTTTCAGACTCAAAGGATGCAGATCTTACTTCCAATGCGGTTTTTTTTGAGTTGTCGAAAATCAAATCACCGGAGGTGCGTTACACGCTAGTATAGCTAAAATCAGTTGCCTGCAAATTAAGCTCGAGAAAAATATTAGGCTGAAGGAAATAGACCAAAAAATGCACCAGATTTGGACAATTTACGATAAAATGTAACAAACTATCCAAACAAAAAATAGCCCTGAGCCTGCAGTAAAATCAACATAAATCTCTAGAAGCTACGCCTATGTAATTTCAACTGAAACTTGAAAACATAGCCAACAGGCAGTTGGAAAACAGCCAATGAGCGCAAGAAAACAAAAATAAAAAACTGACTTCTGTTTTGAAAAAAACTTCAACTTCGTAACTGGAGAGCGCAACTTACATAACTTTTAGCAGATGAAACTGAATTGTACTCAAATAGCGCTAATATACCTAGAAGCATTCACAAATGCATTATTGTGCATGAATGCACTTCAGTAAAAAATATTAGCAAATTAAGTTTTCCTGAAAAAAAAAACGAAACTAAAAACATCACGCCCTTTATAAGAATCTGAACTACGTTCATCGAATCTTAATAAAAATTAATCCACAAATTCTTGTTCATTTTTTTAATTAAAGAGGGTCTGCAATTTTTCGAAAACTGCTTTTTATAGTTAATCCAAACATAAATAAAACTACAGGATCTAAAGAGAAAAAAAATCATTCCGTAAATTACCCGATAGAATTAATCCAATCAATAAACAAAGATTCTTTCAAATTAGTGTCGTTTTTTAGCATCGTGTGATGAAAAGAACTGAACAAAAAAATGAACTTAGGAATTTTCGACAGTCATAGTAAAGTAGACAGAAACTAGAAAAATGACTAAAAAATAACAAAAAAATTCAAAAAATGTGGAGTTTGAATTTCCAAATGGCGCTAAAAATTTCAAAAACAACTTTATTTGAAAACAACTAAGTTTCTACGGCCAAAATTAAGCAATAGTTAGCTATTGTAAGCCTGCTCATTGGCTCGAATTTAGACTAAAAATCATTATTTTCAAACCTTGTTTTCTCGTTACTTAGTTATTTTTTGGAAAATTTTAAATGTCGTTCAAATCACAACTGAAAGGGCTTGTATATGATATACCACTCGACCCATTCCCATAATTATTTGTAGTCAGGGGGCGGTTTAGGTGGGGGGTGGGACACCCGCCATCTTGAGGATTCGTCCCCTGCCGACCCAAAGGGTCCCCCTTTGTACTATTTTGAGCTATCCATTTTTTGGCTGACTGACTCTAAAATTTTTAAAAGGCGCCTTTGGTGCCAATATATACTAATTTTGAGGGGTGAGCGCGCACGAAAAAAAACGCAATTTTTTGGTCAAAATTTTCCAAAAAGTGCCTAAAAACGCCTTTTTTGGCCTGCTTTAAAATTTTGCCTGCGAAGCAGAAAATTTGCTTAAACCAATCAGGGACTTTTTAGTGCTTTGGGAGAGCTCGAAAAATCCAAATCAATTTGGTCGACCTAAAAAAAGGTTAATTACTTGAAAATCCGCTCCACTCGAGAGAAAATCCTAGATCCGCCCCTGTCGGCATAGACTGTAATCAACGCTGACTGCAAGTCTTAAGCAGGCACGTCATCCAACAGAAAAATTACTGACGTGGGAAAACTCATAAATCATCGGTCAAAATGAGGTCTTTTTCGAGCGTTGGGATAATTCGGAAAATCTATGTGGTCGATCTAAAATACGCGACAAAATGAATGCATGAATGCACTACACTACCAATATTGCACCCACGAGCGCATATTTACAATGTCTAATTTTGGTCAATCTAGTTGCAAAGTTTTTAAGGGAAACAAGTCAGAACGAGATTACAAAACCCCTGCTAATCATAAAGGTAAAAAGGGAGCGAAAAACGCATTGGTCCTGGTTTTCTATTGTTCTTCAAAGCAATCAAAGTAGAGCTGCTAACCGTATGGACTGTTATGAGTAAGGCTGATGGCATGGAGAGGTCTATATGTCCTGTAGAGGTCAGCCACTGGCTGGTAGTGACCCAACTGTGCATTATGAGAGCCAATGGTAACCGCATGTAAATAGATGGCATACAATTCCACGTAGCGTCTCTGACTCGGAATGGTCACTCCCTATAACAAATTGTATACAAATATGATCTAAATTGCTTTTTATTTTGTACCCAAATGGTAAACACGCTCTTGACCAATTTACCACACCGGTTTCAAGAAAACAACAGCAATTTCAATACAAACAATGTAAATTGAGTCTAGTCTGTTCATGTTAAAAAAATACATCTATTATACTCATCCGCGACAATAGATAGCCAAATGTAGCAACACAACCTTGTAAAAGAATATTCCCAATAGTCTCCTCTCCAGTATATGCTACCTATCGCAAGGTATTAAATTTACGAACTCATTTATATCCCAGAACAAAAGAACATGAGAAGGATCAAATAAAATGATACAATTTCACGAGACCTCCCAGCAAAATTATAACCGCAACATCAAACTTAAGATTCGAAGGGGCGGCTAACTTTATATCAGCTGACGCTTCTGGTAATCGTCCGACGCCTAAGTAACGGCACAAAAACTCATCTGAACTTAACTGACTGGAAAAAAATTCCATTAGCTCAAAAACAAAACCAGAGCCAGTCAATTAACATTTTTCAACTTTCGAAGAAAAAATGTATCATGCACAGCTCTTAGAAATGCAAAATTTTTTAATGATAGTCACTGTTTTCATCGAACTAACCCAATTAGAGAACACTGAATCAACAGGTATAAATGTAAAATGGAAAAAATAATAATTTCAGAAACATTTTCCGACTATATGTGGGAAAAATAATTTCCGACTATATGTGGGATTATGCCAAAAAATGGCATTGAAAATTGTAGTAATAAAAATTTTTTGAGCAAATAAATTTTCAAACTTACACCACACAAACCACCTGTACAAGCAATTTTTTTCCTTCGAGCAAAACAAATTAACTTGACTAAGCCGATAAAATATACGCCAAAATCCTTAATGCTAGAAAAAACTTTCAAGTGAAAAAAAAAACAGAAAAATATACAAAGGTTAGCTAGCCAGGGTTAGTAAATTTACAAACAACTGGAATAAATCAACAATCTTGTAACTACAATTTCTTACATACTGAAAACAAACAAAGTCCGGCCGGGACTCAAACCCTTGACCTTAAGGTGCAAAAGCAACTGCGTAACCTCGAGGAACCGCTAGAGGCAGGAGAAAAGTAACCTTAGAGGAAGGAGTATTGCAGATGTTAAGGCTAACCAGCAAAGCAACTTCAATTTCTTACAGATTTGTAAGAGAAGTTGTTTCAGGGAAAAAAGTCAGATTCCCGATTACCATCAAGGGTAAAAAGGTTGGAAAATTGTCAAAACAAAAATGGCGGAAATGTCCTTTGGCTTTTAAAAAAAGCTTGGAAAAACGACAAAACAAAAATGGCGGAATGTCCTTTGGCTTTTAAAAAAAGGTTGGAAAAAAGTCAAAACAAAAATGGCGGAAATGTCCTTTGGCTTTTAAATGTACCGAAAACTTTGGAAAAAAAACTTTTTTTACTATTTATTAAAAAGGATATTTGAAATCGGTTGTGTTTTGAGTGAATGGCAACCAACTCCGTAAAGTTGCTTTTCATTTGAGACACCCTGTAGGTCTATCTATTCGATTTAGAGAATGATTGCACTGTTTGTGGGCTGACCTTGGAGTCTATGGTTCTCTCTCTTGAGAAGTGGTCGAGAGTGGACAGTACTAGTTGGGAGAGGGGGTTGGTGCCATTCTGTCTGCATCGCCACTCATGCTCAACCCATCCACTCTTTCCTGCCTCTGTGAGCACCATGTGTATTAAATAACAGCAGATCATCACCCCTGTCCGACCCTGCAATACATTAGGAGACTTCATCAATAAACATCATCGCATCAAGTATTATTATGATCAAAATTGAAGTATAAGATCGGCCAGCAAAACTTTGATGATCCGTTAGATCGCTTTAGTTTTATTTCGATTTCATCTTTTTTAACCCATCATTTAGAGGTTCAATGCCGCGCAATTTTATCAATGATTTCTGATATCAGGCTGATATGCTAAATTCAGTTCAAACACTCATAATTTCTGACATAAATATTTTCAGCCATTACATATGTCTAATAAAACACACAGACTGTGGGGGTCTTTTCCATTATTGCCCCCCCCCAGACTAGTATCAAAAAAGTTATAGCCCCCCAACCTTTCCCATTATAAAGCCCCAACCTTTCCTATTATAGCCCCCTAAAGGTTTCCAATTATACTAATAGGCAGATCAAATAATTAATTTCAATGTTTACATTTAAGTATGGTTACATTGTATATGTTATTCCAACCATTTGATTACACATTTGCATCACTAATATGTTTGTGGAATTGACCAATAATTTCTCATAATTTCTTCTTTAATTGAAATATTTTCATTAAAATAAATTTCAGTATATGTAGTCAGGGGCGGATTTTGGATTTTCTCGAGCGAGGGAGGGGGGGGGGGGGCGGATTTTCAAAAATTTTGTCGACCTTTTTTTTTGGGTCGACCGAATTAATTTACCGAGCTCTCCCAAAGCACTAAAAAGACCCTGTTTTGGTTAAATTTTCTGCGCCGCAGTCAAAAATTTGAAAAACAGGCCAAAAAAGGCGTTTTTAGGCACTTTTTAGAAATTTTGACAAAGTTTTTTTGGCGCGCGCTCCCCCCTTAAAGTAAGTATATATTGGCGCCAAAGGCGCCTTTATAAAATTTTTAGGGTCCGTCACCAAATATGGATATCTCAAAATAGTACAAAGGAGTACCCTTTGGGTCGGCAGGGGGTCGAATCCCTGAGGGGGGGGGGGCCTGTATATAGTAGTATATATCAGTACGGATAGTGTGTACAAAATTGGAACGTTCGGGGGGGGGCTATAATGGGAAAGGTTGGGGGGCTATAAACTACTGGGGGCTATCATGGGAAAGACACGACTGTGTTACCTTTCCGGCTTTGCAGTGGATGACGGCGACATTGTGTGGTTGTTGGAGGTAGTCGTGCACTTCCTGGCAGAATGTGTGGATGGAGCGGAAGTGTGGTGGCTTGTGGTCCGCGAACCCATACTCCTCCACAACTGAAATAAAGCATAAACATCAACTCAATGTCCACATTTTGATACCATCCAATCGCTGCTTTGTAGGGTATTCAACTATTTCATGCAAAAAAAACACTTCCTGCGAGGCGCATTTTTTAAATTTGCGAATTAATATAAAAGACTGAAAACAAACAAGGAGATAATCACGCCCCAGATTTAAGTGCACTTGCTTTTTTCGAAGTTGATAAATATCATGGAGGTTCAATTCAGAGAATTTCACAATTAATTCAGTTTTTACCAATTCGTTTTTTTTAAAGTATATTCAATTGCTAAGTTTCCTCGAAGAAAAATGATCATTTGGGGGCGACATAATTTGTCATGCACTGTTTGCGATAATTCCCGTATCGGCCTAAACTCGCTTCGAAATTGCACATGGGACAAGAATTGCAAGCAAATTTTTCGCATCTTTAGCCTGATATAATGGTATTTTCAATGCATCGCACAACCCTTCTAAGTATTTCTCAAAAAAATCCAGTAAGTCAACTTATCAGAGAGTTTGCTTCGAGTTTTATTATAATTATTTCTTCAGAAAATCTCCCAAGAACCGGCGGTATTTCAAAAATTGTGCCAACACTAAAAGTCCACCAACACCTGTAATTGCACTAGCTTTCTATTGAGAATTTTAATTTTGCTCATTCTAATTAATCAAACATTCGAATAGCCTAATCTACTAAACAACCCCCTCCCCTCTATCTTGAAAAGCGGGAGATTGTTAAGTAGATCCAATGGTTTTTCTAACTAGCTTATACCCGAGGCCTGTAGATAACATAACATGCCTCCAATTCAGAAAACAAACGTTTACCGTTTAAATCATGCGTTCTCAATTTAAGATTAGCCTTTTATCCAAAACTTGCAGTTTCAAACTGTCAACTTTGACATCAAAAAGGAAAACACGCTGCGTGATAATTCAGTTCACAAGTGAAAACAGAATTCTTGCAAGGTACTGAGTGACTATTTAGGCAACATTTCAATTGTTATGCTTACTCTTCAGTGTTTTTTTTGTTAACTTCTCTTCATTTATCTAGATATGTGTATATATTTCACTATATATCTAGGATTTTCTGGTCTGACCAAAAAACTTTTTTTTCAACGACACACACTTCCCATTAAAGTAGTTTTGTATATAATAAGGGTTGACCAAAATGGATTTCGTAAACTAGTACAAAGAATAGGGGGACCCCTTTGGGTTGTTAGGGTTTCGAATCCCTGAGCCAACCTAAGCAACATACATCATCTAACTCACTTTTCGCAGCCACTGAATGATCTGGATCTGAAAATTTGATCTATTATTTCTCAGCAACCGGCTCTTTTACAGTTCAACCCACTATCGAATATTTTGATCATACCCCAGAAATCATAATCGATTTTACAGCATGACTGAATTGTCTTGACCTCTCACATAGATTCACATAACTTAAGTACGAAAATTGATGTGTGCAAAAAAATGGCCAATCAAAGCCTTTTCATTCGTGGTTCCGACTGCACAAAAATTTTCAAAAAGCTTTTTTTTAAAGAAAATGCGATTGAATATATATTTTTGAAACCATGATCGGACCTTTGTGCTCTAAAGTAAAGCAATGTACTAGTTTTGCTATAATTCTAAAACATTTCGCGCAACTACTTCCAATCTTGGACGAAATACCAAGACGAATATGATTTATTAAATAGGAAAAACTTCAAACCTTTCCTTGAGCCGAAACTATCAAGAGCGTACTTCCTTTCTGTGCACAGGTTGAAGACCTTATAATGTCCCGGATGCCTCTCGTCCAAGAACCTATGAAAGAATATATCAAAACTAAACCACAATTTATTTCGCATTACTGCACAGGCAAATTTTTGAAACTGTTTCAAGCTTACAGATACACTGTTGAATACAAAAAATCGCGGATTAAGTTTATATCCTCCCCTTCCCCTCCTCAAAGAGACCCAAAAACCATCTTCAGTCAGCAATTTAATAAGCATTAAAATCGCCGGATGAAAACTCGATCTGAGGACTAAGATAACATACAAGTCAACAAATGCCTGAACTGTAAATGGTATCAACTATCAACCTGAGGACGTCTTCAAAGCGGTTTCTGTACGATGCCTCTATTCTCTTGGCAGGATACCCCATGGCAATCAGTTTAGGCTCTTCGGACGTCTCGTGGCAGTTTAATGTCACGTCACATCTACTACTGAAGGATGATGTAACATCTGCAACAAAATAGCAAGCGTTACCTTGAGTCGAAGTAAAATTGCCACATCATTTATTTAAAACTTTATTTAAATGACAAAAACAAGACTACGAGATCATAAAAATTCGTGTATTTTTTGTACAGAACCGAGCGTATGAGTAAACAGATAATATTGGCGTCAAAACTTTGACTGCAATTCATTGTAATAAATATCTGACTTCTGAATTCAAATCAAGCAGAAAAACTTACTGAAAATCCGGTAAACAAATATAGATCCTACAAAACTATTCGCAACTGCATGCTAGTTAAAAGTGTGGAACTTTTCACTAAAAATTTTCTTTTCTAATGTGGATACTAGTAGTGTCAATAGCAGCTGCGACCAAAACGCCGATGGGAAATTCAACCGATGTAAGCTTTGTATAAATCTAACAAATTGGAATTGAATTGCTAAAATTTGGGTCGAGAAAAAACTAGCAAACATAGCCAAAATCAAAGCCGAAGACAGTCTAAAACGTGTCAATAAACTCAAGGAAACAGAAAAAAAAACAGATTTCAAATTTCAAGTTCAAAATGAGTTGATATATGACAAAAGGCGGTAGGCTCAATTTGAATAGCTGGATCACTTTTTGTAATACTTTGCACACTATTTATAATTTGTTTCAAAAGCCAATTTTATTTCAAAAGAAGGGTAAAACTGTTGAATAGCATTTCATCTGGCAGAGTAATGTTTTTACTAAAACTATCTTCAACTTTCAGTAGTAGTAAAATTGATTGAAAATGAAATGACTATATTATGCATTACAGTTCTCAGTTTTAATACAAGCATTATACTCGAAATTACCACCTATTGTAACATATCACCCAAAATGAGAAATACATCGCCTTAGACGTTTTTCGGGACCTTTACACTTTTGCTGTTCAAAAGTGAAGTTTGGCCTCCCTTTAACAAACGCACTGAACTTTAACACAGAGGCTATTCAGAGCTTCTCACTACCTGCGATACATCATAAAGAGAGTGTCGATAAAACAAACACTAGTTTGGAAATGTCGAGAAAAATTAAATCTACCAAAAAAATTTTATTGTCTTGAATACAGTCCATTTTCTTAAACATAAAACATGGCCAATTTTAAAAAATAGTTGGTTGCAAAGAAAGAAGGCGGTTTTCAAAAGGGACTTTTTATCAGCAGTCGCCCGTTGAGCAAAAAAAAGTAAATTGAAAACTACGCCTTCAAAAGACTCAGACGCATGGGAAACCTGTTTCGCTCATCCAATGATGCAATATGATGCACTTAAGCCGGTTAAGCATAAACCGAAGAAATTGCCTTTACCAATGGAGCTTTAAACAAGCGTTCTAAAAGATAGCTGAACCTTCAAAGAGTCCTTTCTATGGGAACTCAGCCTGCAAAAATAAATAGACTGACGATCGTCCGAAAAAGCAGAAAACTTATTACTTGAAAAAAAAACAACAGGTCCCGGCTGGAGTCAAACCACGAGCCTTTGTGGTCTCAAGCAAGTGTGTTACCTCTACGCCAGATGCGCTGGGCGGTTGATTGATTTTGAATTTAAGAAGCAATATTAAACATCTGCGAAATCTTGTGGAAAAAAAATTGTAAAAAACATCAAAGTTAAACCGAAAAAAAATCATATTTGAGCGAGAACAATTTCTAAGAAAATTTCCTGAAAAAAAATAAAGAAATTATTAAGGCCTACGTAAGAATTTTCACTTTGTTCATCAAGTCTTAAAAACAAATCACAGCCGCCATGGCTACACGCCACATAGCACAACTGCTGGGCGAGTAGAACACAACAGTGTTAGTTTAAACTGTTATATAAAGATGTTAGTTAAAACTAGGCTCTTCATTCGGTCCAAATAAAACATAGCCAAATGACAGTTGAAAAAAAAAGAGTAATGAACGCAAGTAAATCAAAAAAAAATAATTTGTCGAAAAATTCTCATCTCTTCGAATTTCAAAGAAAAAAATAGATACCTTTTAAGCTCTTTGAATTTGCTGAACAAAATAAGATTGGCCCTTTTTTGATAACATTAACCCAAATTGAGAAAACTGGATCAATAGGTTAAGTTTTTATTCCACTGGGAAATCTTAGAAATAAATTCCACTTTCGAAACTAGAAATCGTTCACGTTTTTTCATGCCGTTTCCACGTTCGTATTCGGAGAGTACTATTAACGTAACTTTCAGCAGATGAATTTCAATTGAACTCAAAAAATGCATATACACCTGAGTGCATTCATAAATTCATTAATATGCATGAATGCACATCTGTAGTTATTTGAGCATTTTAAAACTTTTTCCTGAAAAAAAAAAACCAAAACCTGTATAGGAGTCTTCACTACCTTCATTACTCTTCACAAGAAATCGAGCAAAAAAAGATTAAATCCAAGAAACTAAAAATGAGGGCAAGAGACAAAAAAGCTCGACTAACAAATCATCTTTAAAATTTTTTATTTATTATCCATTGCATCGTAATGAAACTTAAAATCACAAAAAAATTTCAAACTATAGTCAAGAGACAATTGGAAAAAATCTATGATCTGACATTTTTTTGGAAAATTTTCACATACCGAGTTTTTTTGAGAAAAAAACACCTGAATTTCTTCAAATTATCACCTGAAACTCAATCAAAAGATTATTCAATTAGTCTGCTGGGATTTCTGATATTAAAATCTATTTATTAAGTCAATCAAATTTTTTTCTTGTAACTTCCACTTCGTAATTAGAGAACGTTATTTTATTCCTTTACTCAACTGGATTTCAATGGAATCAAAACAAAGCCAACAGAAAAATGATTTTAAAATTCTAATAGACTTAAGAAACCATAGAAGATAAGTTTTATGATAATTTGGAATTTCGAAGAAAAAATATATCACGCTTGAACTCTTGAGACTTCAGGACTATTTCATGACAAAACTTATTTTCTTAAAACAGCCAAATTAGAGAAAACTGAATCAATAGGTAATCTTGTTTTTACCAAGATATCTTGAAAAAAAGTTCTTGAAACGAGAAGCGTGAAACGAGAAGCGCCATTTGCACTTGTGGAAATAGCTTATAAAAAAACTTCGATTACATTATTTTCCCGCAAAATAATAAGTTAAGACAAAGGATGCCGGTTTCTGTTCAAATAGAAAGTAAGCCTGTGTAGAAAAAAATTTTCAACACAGGCGAAGATGAGCTTCGCACCACTTGTGATACCAATTAAGATCAAACAAGTAGGTTATTGTGGGGCTGACTTTGAGAATACCAACGCATTTTGTTCAGTCTTACGCATCTCAAAATAACAAAGGAACTTTTTCAGAAAGCAAAATACTAGGTTATTATGCCGCTACAATTAAAGCCAATAAGTATGAAAGCAACAGAAAATTTTCGACAAACAAATCTCTTGGAAACAAATGCATGAAACGTGATCCACAAGAGCTTTATATTTGCTTGCAACTAGTATGTTACGCACCTCCGGTGCTTTGAGTTTTCAACGGCTCATAAAAACCGCATATATTGCAAATAAAATCTCGTTTGAGTATACTCTGCTAGCACCCAATTACAGGTTTGGTAAGCTCAAACTTAGTGAAGTTTTTATAATATCTATGATCTTTCAACAATTTTTTTTTTGAAAAAAAGACAACAAACACCACATCTCGGAAACTAAGAGCATTTGAGCAGTCGTATTTTGACGCAAGATTTGCAACTTGAAACTCCTGAGGTTGAGAATTTCTAATTTTTTAAACCTAAGTTATACAAATTATAACACACATCATGTCTCGAAAACTAAAAAAATTTGAGCTCTTATATTTGGAGACAAGGTTTGCAATCCTTGAGAGTACTCTAACAGTACACAACTACAGGGTTAGAAAATGCTAAAATTTTGAATTTAAAATTTCTGAAACTTCGAAGCCAAATTTCCAACTCCTCGAGAAACCATGACAGTTTCCATCAATTAGTTGGCTAATTTAAAATTTCATGAAATAAACACTGAATTTAAACTGGAAAATCGAAAAAAAATCTTAACCATTGCAATATACGATATACGCAAAATCATCAGCAAAAAAGTATCAAAAATCTAAATTATCAGTCTTAATTTAATTATCAGTCGAATCGCTAGATGGAAAGAGTAGAACATCAAACTTGAACCTGAAACGAACGTGCTAATTTAATACACAGAGGCAAAGCGGAGCTTCGCACGAATTGCGATACAAGAAAAATCTATTTTTCCCAAAACTTTCGAGTGTATAGATGAAAGACATCTAGAGGTCAGCTGAGACTAGTGGTACGAACTTGATAATTTTTGAAATTTGATGGGGGACGAAATGCGTATTTTCAAAATTGGACATTGCCCCAAAACCTTTGTTGTTTCTTTCTACTAAATAAAAAAGTGGGAAGGGTAAAAATTTTCGAGATGTTTTTCAAAGACCTAACATTTGTCTTACAAAAAATTCAGGCGTAGCAACTTCTGCAAGAAAATTCGCGCAATCGCTTCTTCCGACTGAAATTTTCATCTCAGATTTGATAGGGTAATTTTAAGAAATTTAAAAAATTTCTAAAAACGTTCGAAATTCAAAAATATGACTTTCTGAAATCGGGGATTTTTTTTTCTGCTAAAAGCAGGTCGTGGCCCATAGAGTAAAAAAAAAGATTCCCTAAATCGGGTTTCTCAATTGAACTCTTAAGCTGAGAGTTGACGCGGTAACTTTCGATGATTTAAAAAAACTTCCAAAAAACAGTCCAAGTTTCAAAACTTTCACTTGTTTGAAATCATAACTTTTTAAAAAAAAAACTGGGCGCAGCAAAATATAACGGCAAGCTTCCAGCAATATGCTGTAGGATTAAACCTATAATATCAGATGTGAAAGGATAGTTATCTAAAAAAGTCCAAAAAACGGTCAACAAATCGGAAAGTTGACATTTCCGAGAATCATAGCTTTTTGTTTTAAAAAATTAGGCGTAGCCGCTTATGCAGAAGAAATTTTGCCCAATCTTTATTTTCGATTGAACCCAAAAACCTAGGTTTGGCAGGGTAGTTCTCGAGAAAAGCCAAAAAAAATTCAAGAAAACGGTCAAAAAATCAAAATTTTGATTTTTCCAAACCCATAACAATTTGTGTCGGAAAAATTGGACGTCAATAATGCAAAGGAGCTTCCTATAACCTGTTCTTCAGATTGAACCCAAAATCATGGATATGAGACGGTATTTATTGGTTAAAATCATAAAATTTAGAAAAGACTCAAAAAAATGACTTTTCCCGGGACGATAACTTTCTGTGCAAAAATTGTGAGTGGCCGCTAATGCAGGGAAGCTTCACACTACCCTTTATCTCTATTTTACTTACAACCTCAGGTTTGGGAGGTTAGTTTTTCAGAAACAAAAAAATCAAATATCGGTTGAACATTCTCCCAACAGACCAAAGAGTATGCACAGAAAAATTTAGGTGGCCTTTCTATGGATACCCTATTTTGAAAACCGGTAGAATGATTTTTGAGAAAAAAACTACAATTTTGGCAAAAAAAATTAAAATTTTCCAGAGCGTCTAAAAAAAATAAAAAAAATCCCTTCAAACAGGAATTCTAGGCAAACATGTCTAGCATGCCATTCAAATTCAAATGAGCAATTGAACAAAACATACAAAGCGGAAACAAGGCCGACTCTGAGCAAATCTTTGAGCAGACACTAGTTGAGCCGAAAAAAACATACTATGTAAAATTTTTTAAAGTATCAAACCCACACTGAAACTACCCTGTAGTAAATAGTACTCAGCCAGTAGTTCAATTTTCATGATATTGATCATGTCAGCTGAAGAGCATGCCAGGTGAACAGCATGTCAAGTGATTCAACTGATTTTGTTAAACTGGTTGTTAACTGGAAAAAAGTCAACATTCCGACTTGATAACGCTTGCTAGTCGCCAGCGTAATCAGACGAATCAATTAAAAAAAAAGAACGTACTCACGGTCAAGGTTCGCAAAATTACACCAATCAAACAACTTTAAAATATAAAAAATTGTTGAAATTACAAGAAACTTTCATAAAAAGGAAATAAAGCTGACAAAACAAGAAGACAAACGGTAGCCCTATTCTTCAAAATACCGAGAAAAAATTTATTTATTTATTTAAAGTATTTAGACCATTGCGGTGAGGGGATTTCTCCCCGTCAAAACACAGTCAAACAGTCAACTGACGGCAAGTTGCACAGTGTTTTCCAAGAACACGAGATAAGTTCGTTGTAGTTGTTCATGAAGAAGTTCCAATAGTATTTCAGCAGTCGTTTCTTGAGTCCATTGAAGTCGAGAACATTCACCGATGTGTGCTGAATATTTGCTAGTCGACGTACGGTACCAAAAATTGTGTCTTGATCTTTCGTAGTTCACGTGTTTAACATCAAACTTATGGCGACCAGTCGAAAATGTTACGTAATCATCCCACTTAAAATCGTATTTCCCATTGATAATCTTGAACAGTAACAATACATCATTAACTTCCATATACAAAGAAATAGGCAACATGTTGACGCTAATAAGGCGCTGATAGTAAGATAAGTCGTTGTCGAAGAGAATCCACTTGGTAGCTTTGCGTTGTATGGATTCGAGGGCCTTCAAATTTCCGATGTTGGCGTACCAAACAGATGAGCCATACAAGAGTAATGGTAACACCATGTACTTGTATAGATTCAACTTGTGAACTCGAGGTAAAATACTGCAGCAATTACGCTTTATAAGAAACAAGACTACCAACGCTTTTTGCAAGCTTTTTCAAAATGATGGGACCATGACAAGCTGGATGAGAAAAAAAATACCAAGATCTTTCTGGCTTTCGACGACTGTGAGCTCTTTTTCTGCTACATATACGGTACAATAACGCTGTGAGAAAGGTAAAAAGTGGCATTTATCAGGATGTAACATCATACAGTTGTCGTTGCACCACTGCAGGATTCTGTAGACATCGGCTTGTAGATAGCACTAAATGTTTGCGGAGTACCAAGAAAGTAGTTTTGAATCATCGATGGACCCTTGAGGTACACCGCTAAGTACAAGCAGAAGCGAAGAGTAGTATTTGACCACTTTAACAAACTGTCTGCGGTCAGCAAGACAGCTCTTAATAACCGCTAGGAGTCTTCCAGAAATTCCCAATTTGCGCAGCTTATTAAGCAGGACAGAGTGACTAATTTTGTTAAAGGGTTTAGCGAAATCTATATATACAGCTTCCATCGTATTCCGGTAGTCTGACTCGCGATAGATCTCGTCTAGGTAACAGATTAATTGAATAATCGTGTGTTGTGCATTAGGAAACCATATTGTGAATTTGATATAAGTGGTCTAATGAAAGGATACAATTCGTCAAATTTACAGCGCTCAAGAATTTTGGATGCAATGTCTAATAATGTGATAGGACGATAATTGTTTGCCAGTCGCTTGTCAGCTTGTTTATGCAAGGGCTTGACTTTCCCAATCTTCCACTGCGAAGGAAAGCAACCTGTTCTCTTAATAAAGCTGAAAATGTGACTAAGAGATTTGCAAAGGGAAGGAATCTTCTTGAATAAAGCCGGTGGCAAGTTATCGCGACCGCGGGACTTGCTTACGTCTAGCCTGGTGGTTATTGTCATTTTTTATGTTCGGAAACGTCGCAAATAAAATTAATGCGTGCCAAGGTCCAGCCGCGATTCGAACCCCAGACCTACGATCTCAAGGACCGTGCTTAACTTACCACGTGTTCAGGTTCCAGAATAAAAACCAGCTCAATTTCTTGTAATTTACCTTCCTTTTAACAAATGAGTTTGAATTGAGCTTAAAAAGAAATGAAAAGTCAACCTGAAAACACTTTCTGTAAAAAATCAACAGGGCCTAAATTAAGGTCTTCCCTACATTCATTGACCATTGAAAAATAGAGAGAAAATTAAGTCTTTCACAAGATTTGATGAAGCGCTGGTAAATGGGCAAAAATAGCCTACAGATAGTTAGAAAAGAGTAAATGAACGCAAGTAAACAAAAAGAAACTGACTTGTTTTTGAAAATTAAATTTTTCGAAGTTCAAAGTGAAAACACTTGGCCGTAAAGCTTTTCGAATTTCAAGAACAATTGATGATTGACCCTTTTTTTGATGAAAGTTATCTCAATTTGATGGACAAACTGACAAACCGCTGGACAAACTGACAATTGAACTCCACTTTCAAAATTAGAAGTCGATCACGTTTTTTGTGACCTTTTATCTTTTGCTAATTCAAAAAAAAAAATGTGACTTCCTTTTAAAAATGAAATGAAGTGAATTTAAAAAAAAATCAAAGCCAAACTGCGAAAAATCAAATTTGAGCGTGAACAAATTTAAGGTCTTTTTCCTGAAAAAGTCATCATAGCCTGTTTAACGGTCTTCACAGCGTTCACCTACCCTGTTAGCAGACAAAAATGAGTGTCAGCATAGCAGTGATGTATTCTTGTTCAAATTCTGTATATAAAATTAAGTTTATCTCATCAGGCGGGTTATACTTATTAGCAAGCTCTGAAAACGCAATTGAGGAAAATAATAAAATCAGCTATTACAGTTGCACAAATTTTAGCTCAACTGAGTGTAGTTTTTACACCTCCAGGATTTTCATATAACCAAACTTTAATTTTGTTTTATTTTATATGAACACTTTTTGCTGATGAGGCTTAATGCCCCAGAATCCATTGCTATTCAGAATCCAAAACTGAAAAAATAATCCGTCCTTTTAGCAGTCAATCATAGATGAATGAGTTTTCCAAAATTAACTTAAATTTCTCAAATAACAAAAAAGCCTTTCGGCGACTTGAAGTAGTCGAACTAGATCACTGAAAACTAAAACTTTCTAACTTACAGGACAGATCCAAATTAAAATTTCCCTCTTTAAACCGCTTTTTGTTCTTCGAAACTGCCTCTCTGAAAAAATCCATTGCATTGGTACCTGAAACAAAAAGCATGGCTATTATAGTTTCATCAGCGATGAGTCAGGAGCACTTAAGATATATATTTAAAATAGAGTGGTCATCATTTTAATGTAATCAGAAGGTCAAAAGTATCATAGTAACCGAGGTTACAGTCATGAGTCCCTTCATCATGTATTCCAGTCAAAATCCTTGGAATTTTCTAGATATGGAAGTGATAATGATAAAAGAAGATGTCAAGTGTTTAAGTCCTTTTCATTTAAAATCGATACGGGTTACGCTTCTTCAATAAGAACACGCAACTCGACACGAGATAATATAATATACAAGTGTTACAAGTAAAAAATTTCGTCGAAAGTTATTTTGTCATTTATTGTTCCGAGTACGCAAGCGGCGTTCGCAATCTGTATTGCCAGGGAGATTCTCTGTTTTAAAAAGCTGCCTGCTCTGGGTTCCTCAGTGCATATGCTTAGGTTCTTACAAAGCTTGCTCAAAAAAACTTCTGTGCTGGGGCCGGCCGCGCCCTGAATTTCAAAAGCTAGCGGTTGAAAAAGATATCCATCATTTACAAGATCTTTATATTTGTCAATTTTTCGCTCTTCCGCTTCAGCGGCAGCCGTACCAGGGTTACAAACAGACCCGGCATTAATCCTACAAGGAGCTAAGGAGTCTACTACCGTTACATCCCACAAGAGCTGCTTACCATCAGCCCATGGAACGAGCGTCAAACCGTCTGGTCGCTTCTGATCGGTCCTGTAGAGGTGTCGTGGTTCTAAAACAGACGGAATGTGAGTAGATGATAGACTCTGCTTTATAAGGGCATTCAGGTTTGAATGCCTAGAGAATCTCCCTGCACTTTTGAGGCAAGAAAGACCATGCCAACCATCCTCGGTAACGTCTTTTCCGCACACGCATTTATGCCGTTCGCATATTTTTGATCCTAATCGAAGTCCTATCGCAATTCTGAGTTGTTGGTTCGACAGTTTTAACCTTAAATTTTTGCAGGGGATGACGTTCAACCATTGGGATCCAAATCTATCTTGGAACGCGTTGAACCTTTTCACGTCCGTTGGTTCGAGTCGTAAAATCAAGTCTGCAATTTCGCTGTCAAAAATTGGCTCCGTCCAATTTTTTTGGATTTCATTTTCCGGAGCCATTTCAATTTTTCCAAGGTCAAACCACCGTTTAAGCGCATCATCATAGGTTCCATCCACATGCTCCAAACCAAAGATTTCGCTCAAGGCATCTTTTGCTCCTACTGCTGAGGCTAAGAAAGCTGGTAAAGCGAGTAGACGAGCGGAAGAAACGCCCAAGCCACCTTTGGCTGCCGGGAGAACTGCTTGTAAAAACTGGTTATCATCCATTTTCACGTTAGTGACCTTGCATAACGAATTTCTTAGTAATTTATCGTAGCGTTCCAAAAAAATCATTTTGCAAAAAACAAGGGCTCGTACGCAAAAAATATAGGAGTTTTGGCATGCTAAAGCAATTTTTCAGGAGGTAAAAACCATAATGGGCGTCTAGTTTGTCAATGACATCCGAGATTTTTTCAAGCTCCCTAATTTTTTCGTCGAGTAATTCTTTTCGGCAAAGTTCGCCGATTGGAGATCCTAAAATGAGGAGTTCTTCTTTTGTTTTTATTTTTATTTTGGGGCATATTTTTCGAAATTGTGTTAAAATTGAATTATACTGTGTACTAGTAGTCGGTCCCAAAAAACAAAGTTCACACTTCTCAGTGTTTAAGCTCAGGCCGTAAATTTGTTCCGATTTCAGAATGTTTTTAAGGTCCCGGAGTACTACCTTATAGTCGTCGGCTAAATTTCCATCATCTAAATACCAGATGTTAATTTTCGACTCCAACTGTTTGACTAGTGTATGAATTGTTTCCGCAAAAAGGGGTGGGGCTTCAGGATCACCTTGCTGAGTTCCGTCTTCTGACATTATGACAGAGCTTCCGTAAAAAAGGTAACTAGGTTTAGCATACGCGCAATGGGTGTAATTATATAATTCGGGGCGATTTGAAAAAACATGATTCAGCATTGTTTCTCTGTTTAAAGAGTTAAAGGCATTCTTAAAATCTAGTTTTAAAAGAACAGTACATTTTGGATTTTCGTCGCGTTCAATTAGGTTTCGAAACGAGTGCGCAGCTATTTCTGCTCCTCGTTTGGTACCGCATCCTACCTGTACGTTTCCGAAAAAATTTTGTCGCTCGGAGAGGGCCTTGCTTCCAGCGCATTTAGACGCGATACGTCTCAGCGTGTTGCCTATGGCAATCGGTCTCAACCCTCCGTCTATTTTTATGAGGGCGATAAGCTTTGCGCCAAAAAAGAAAGGTCTTAGTGGTTCCGGTATTTTGCCATCTCCAATGAGGTTTATCAGCTTAGTAAGCGATTTCAGAAAATTAAGTCCTGCACTGCCATTCGACTTACTAACAAGATCTTTAAAAATTTGAGGAAATATTTTATCAGGACCTGCTGCTATACATTATCGCTTTGTATAGGTCGAAATCGGTTACGAAAAAACTATCCAACTTTTCTGGATTTGGAGCTGCAAATTTGGCTCGCTGCGGGTGCTTAGATAACAATTTTTGATAGTTATCAGTTGAAAAAGGAGCTATTTTGTCATCCGAAGCAGCAAGCCTTATTCCTCCCTTTACATTTCCTTCATCGAGCTTACTAGTTATTAACTTTATTCTCTGCTCGAGGTCACTCAGAGGCGGGCTTGAAACTTGGGGATGGGGTTTTGGAAGTGACACGTCATTTGCTCGAATTTTTTTATTTATCAAAGAGCTCATGCTTGTGGTCTGTTTGCGTCCACGTCTTTTCGGTTGCTCCAAAAAAAACAAGAACGACGTTAAAAAAATTAGCCATTTTGTAACATCTTCTACATTGTAGACGATGTCATTTATTTTGTCCGACAGATTTTCCGCCAAGGGAACACGCGAGTCTTTTGGTACTCTCTTGAGTACTCGGACATTTGAGATGGCTGTATTAACATAATTGTCTAGCACTAAATCATTACCTATTGTTGCTTTATTAACAGATTTTACATCAACGCATAAAGGACACTGAAACCATTGGGTTTTTTTAGAGTCGCTAAGAGAAATATTTACACAACTGATATGATACCAACTAGAACAACAATCACATTTAATCCAATTTATCAGTCCTGAAGGTTTTAAGCAATCTTTGCTTGTACACTCTTTGTTGTTTTTCCTCATCTTGACGCAGCATAAAGGTAAAAAAAAAGGATTTTGACTGGACTTTAGGGGACTGAACTAACCCATGATAAGCGGTTAGTGGGAATTTTACAAATCAGCAAATAAAAAAAAGACAACTAAATTAATTTAATAGGTTAAAAGGCAGCATAAAGGTTAAAAAACCAAAAACAAGGAACAATCTCACCCGAGCTCAGTAGGTTCAGCGGCGCACCACCAGACTTCTCAAGCCAGTTCCAGTTCCCCACCTCCCCACAGAAAGCCACTTGACAGACCTGTCTCTAAAATCCCTCAGAGGGCGCTCCACATACAGGCACAAACATCAAACATAACAAATCTATTTAATAAGTTTATCACAACAATTAGGCTAACAATTAGGCATTTGTTATGTTTGATGTTTGTGCCTGTATGTGGAGCGCCCTCTGAGGGATTTTAGAGACAGGTCTGTCAAGTGGCTTTCTGTGGGGAGGTGGGGAACTGGAACTGGCTTGAGAAGTCTGGTGGTGCGCCGCTGAACCTACTGAGCTCGGGTGAGATTGTTCCTTGTTTTTGGTTTTTTAACCTTTATGCTGCCTTTTAACCTTTTAAATTAATTTAGTTGTCTTTTTTTTTATTTGCTGATTTGTAAAATTCCCACTAACCGCTTATCATGGGTTAGTTCAGTCCCCTAAAGTCCAGTCAAAATCCTTTTTTTTACCTTTATGCTTCGTCAAGATGAGGAAAAACAACAAAGAGTGTACAAGCAAAGATTGCTTAAAACCTTCAGGACTGATAAATTGGATTAAATGTGATTGTTGTTCTAGTTGGTATCATATCAGTTGTGTAAATATTTCAGTTGAGGCGGCCGGGCCGGTACACGAAGTTTTTCCAAGAATAAATTGATTTTTATTTGAAAACGATTACGGGAATGCGAACAGCAAGTTGTGGTTTTCAGGGTTTAAAAGGCATGTATCTGCTGATCCGTGGCCGTCGCCCATCATTTTGTCCCATCCAAAAACTATTATTGAACTTATTGTCTATTCCAACATTTTGCAACTTATTATATAATATAAACTAAAAGGGCCCCTTCCGTCAAGGTCAGTCAGAAATGATCATGGTAACCGAAGATACTACACTAGCTCTTGATCATTTCGAGAATGCGTTAAAATTGTAAATTCAAACAAACATTTTCGCACATTTTGTGCAACTTCAGGTTTTAAAAATTCTAAACTATCTGTACAAAATGATCAAAGATCATAAAAAGTGTCACACACATCATTACTTCAAAATTTTAAAAATTCAACCAATCAAAACTTTACAAATATCACTGAAATTATGTAACAACTATTATGTAACATTTTAAAACATTTTGTCACAAATTTTTGAGAGTTTTTTTCAATTTCATTTTCACATTTTTGTTTTGTGGCTAATTTTAATGCTAACATGTAAGTTGTTTCAAAATTTGTTGTTTTAGCCAGAATTTTTCGATTCTGGAACTAAAACTTTAGTGTCAGCTCCCTACTTCTAAACTCGTCGCGCGTGTTAGTTCCCGATCTCTCTTTCCTAATGTGCAGCGCCTCTAATGTAAGTAACTTGATGCTGCTGGACGCCTGGTTGATTATTTTCCAATTAAACTCAGACTTACCACTCTCACTACCACACTGCCTTAAATGCTGTCCAACTGGGGTATCCTCTTTTCGGTGTTCCTCAATCCTTGTGGTGAGATGTCGAACCGTCTGGCCAACATAGATGGATTTGCACCCACAACATTCAAGTCTGTACACCACTTTTGATTTCAGTTCACTGGAAAAGGAGGATTTTAGAGAGGGCATACAAGTTTTCAATTTCCTCGTCGTGAATATTATCAGCGCATTGGTGATATCGCGCACTTTTTTTTGCTAATGTCTGACTGTGATTCCCCCTACATTGGACCATCAAGATGGGTGGTCAATCACTGCTATAATCACAGGGCTTCTTTTTCTCAGCCATGTTCTTTTTGTTTTTGCCCTCGCTGATGACCTTTTCAAGGGCATGGGATGCAACCCGCGACGACCAACTTTCCGGATATTGGTTATCCAACCACTGCTCACGGTTGATTTTCATGGCTTTATCATATTCTTCCCATGTTGACGTACTGCGGAAAACCCGGTGAACAGTTCCTTCAATCACATTTCTTTTGTACTGAAGGGGGGCGCAGCTTCTAAAATTGAGTATGGTACCTGTATCTGTTGGTTTTTGATACCACCCACAGCTAATTTTCCTGCTTTTGTCAATACTAATTTGTAAACCCAAAAATGCCAAAGTTCCGTTTGTGTTTGGTGTCTCTATTGTGAATTGTAAATTTGGATGTAGTAAGTTTGCAGCCCGTGGCACTTTTTCAGGATCACCCCTCACTGTTCTCACTATATCATCAACGTAACGGAGAAACAATTTAGATTGTTGCCCTGACTTATTTTTCTCCCTTATTGCGATGCATTTTCTGCAGTACCAGACGGTTTCACTTATATTTCGATACTCAACATCTGATATATCAACGCATTTTACGTGATACCAGTTCAAACAGCATTCACGTTCTACACCTTTTGACCTGTACGTGACTTTCTTATTGCTTTCGGGACATATTTCGTGAAGATCTTTCTCGGGCAAAAACATTTCGGGAATATCCCTTGATAGTGCAGTTTCGTACTGCTTCAGCCAAAGATTTGCTAAAATGACGGCAAGAGATGCCCCATTGCCAAACCATCTTTCTAAACGTACCATGTTTCATTGCACTAGAAATGGACTTGACTAACTGCCATGTTCAACAGTCTCTTCATGGTTTTCCTAGCAATTGATGGTGGTTCATTGGCTGACACTAAGGCTATAGTTCCAAAATCGAAAAATTCTGGCTAAAACATCAAAATTTTGAAACAACTTACATGTTAGCATTAAAATTAGCCACAAAACCAAAATGTGAAAATGAAAATGAAGAAAACTCTCAGAAATTTGTGACAAAACGTTTTAAAATGTTACATAATTGTTGCATAATTTCAGTGATATTTGTAAAGTTTTGATTGGTTGAATTTTTAAAATTTTGAAGTAATGATGTGTGTGACACTTTTTATGATCTTTGATCATTTTGTACAGATAGTTTAGAATTTTTAAAACCTGAAGATGCACAAAATGTGCAAAAATGTTTGTTTGAATTTACAATTTTAACGTATTCTCAAAGTCTCTTCGTGGTTTCCTAGCAATTGATGGTGGTTCATCTTGCTCATACAGTTTTCTCAGAGCTATGTCTATCGCTTCTTTCAGTGGAACATTTGTGTACAAACTCTTCACATCTAGAGATATCAAGTTTTCATTGGGCTCAAGATTAATGCTCTCTAAGATTTCTCTCGCATCTAGTGAGTTCGTTTCGATGTTTGCTCCCTCAATTTTCTCGAAAAATTTTGCAAGAACCTTGTTCAAGTTATAATAAGAGCTACCAGGCAAGGAGAGGACCGGTCTTAATGGGTTATTCACTTTATGCACTTTCGCCGACCCATAAAGCCTGGCGGGCTGCCCCCAGAAGACCTCATGCTTGTGTAGAGACTCTCACTTATTTCATCTTTTTTCCTCATAGCCAACAACTCCTTATTGTTGTCTCTTTCTATCTTCAAAACAATCGCATCACTTGTTCCTTTACTTTTGCTGAATTGATTTGAATCAAATGTATCCGACAACCTGTTCTCGTAGGTGTCCTTTCTCATTACACAAAAACCCACGCCTTTGTCATACGGTACCGCAACTAATCCATTACTCTTCAGATACTTTCGGGCCTTCTCAAGGCCTTTGTCAGATGGTGTTTGTTTCACCCTCTTAGCATAGGCTTTTGCCACAGCTTCGATCTCACAAAGGGCCTCCCCGGGGATTTTCCGATTTTTGAGATCCAATAGAAAGATGTCAATGTCGGCGAGAGAGTGTGTCTCATTAAATTTATCCCTGACGGGATGCTTTGATCCTAATGCCAACACTTGTTGTACCCAATTTGGTAATTCAACATCATCAAGAGCTCTTACCGAACCCTCACCTTGCTTCCCTAGAGGTCGGTCTTGCCTTTCTGATAGTTTCATTAGCTTCTTCTGATGGGTCTCTTTGACTGTTCTTGTTTGTCTTTGTCCCCTAAGACTTAAATATTTAATTACCGAAGGCCAAAACTTCTCATCTACACCCATCTGTACTGCGCCTCTCGCCCTTTCTAGTTTGACTTCAACGTTTTTCTCATCTGTCCTTGCCTTGTTTATCTCCGTTCTTAGAAGTTTTGTCTGAAAACTGTGTACTGCTTGGTTCGAAAATACCCCATTTTCCGGTACCCTGAACCTCAAAAAATCAAGTATAATGTCGTTTTCTAGACAAACATTCAAACACTTAACACGTTGGTGACAGTTGATAAATTTAACATATATGGACGCATAATCACGGACTAATTTCCAAATGAGTTTGTTTTTCAAAGTCCAAATCGAGAATGGAGGTGGGAGTACAACTGTGCTCATTGGTTTGCAGGCCACGAGGAATAAACCTCACGTGACACAAAGCAACTCAAATAACACAAGTTTAACTCACCCTCTCCGTTGAAGCCTCCTCGTCAGTCCGACCAACAGTTGCTTCGCCTATGTTCACCAGTCTTCTTTTCTCCGCCCTCTTTCTTGATTGAGGTTGCTTTTTCGTGTTTGAACGAAGCTTGGACAAGACAGCTGGCAGGTTGTCTTGGTGTTCGAACAGAATTCTCAAAGACTTTAGCTCCAGCTGGACGTCCTGGTGCAGTGCCTGATATTCGTTGACCAGCTCCGTTCTTCTCTTCCTCTTTGAAATGAGACACTTTGTAATAGGAATGACAAGAATACCCGAGCTGATCAGCTGATTCCTGATATCCGGTGTACCGTTTCTCTGACAGTATACAATTGCGCTGATATTTGTCAGTGTCTTCAGGATTTCTGTCAATTCCTCTGCAGTGCAAGCTCTGTAATTGTTTGCGCGGTGACTGTTGATAGAATTATTGATGATGTCGTGCCACACCACCACTTGACGTTTTTCTGCTAGAGGTGCCCTGCAGAGTAGGCTTGCGAGGTTCTTCTGTGGGTTCGTGGTGTTCGTGTTTAAAGAAAGTCCCGGAATAGCCAAAATTTTGGGTAGAAATTGTCCTTTTTCCGGGTTGCTAAGTTGTTCCAGGCTGAAGTAGAGTGAGCTAGCTGCTACGATGTAGACCATTTCAATTCTAACATGGTAAAATATAAAAAGATTTTTCAACTAAAAAGATTTCTCCACTAAAACAAAGGAAAAATAAATTTAAACTTGTAGGAGAGACTGTAATTGAGAATTGGCTCAACGCCGTAGGGTTTCAAAATTTTATATCTAAATATTTTGAGA